AACTATACTAGACCGGGTCTAGAATAGTTCGCTTGATTTGGCAAAGTAGGAAAGGCAAAAACACGCAGATTGACCGGTAGGACTTTAGGTGGAACACCTGTAGCCCAATTTGTATTATAATGGAGAATGCGGGGTGCTTTTACAAGGGAGTTTAGAGAGAATGAATTCGGATCCCTCTTTCTGAGGTTTACATGAGTATTTATACTAGGCTAAGGGGACAGGACCACGTGCGCCCACGTGGAGGCACGTGTCTCGGATGTTGAGAGGTGATGGGCCTCGTCTCTTAGCTACCTTGTCGCCTTGTGAGGGGGATTATTCCCTTTGTCAGGTAGTGCCTTGGATGGATTCTTCAGCATCTCCAGTTGTCCTCTACTGACACGGGTCGCTACACGCCAAACCCTCGTAGATCCTCTTCTGCCGACACTTTCCAACCCCAGAAACTACACCGGGTAATCTCCGAGGGATGAATTTATCGAAGTCTGGAATAAATAGGACGACAGCGTAGTTTGACCGGTATACTTTTTTGTGAAGTGTACCGGTCATTATTTGGCCGATGGTATATCGTTTTTCTGGCGATTTAAGTCTCCCTTCCAAAACTTTCGAGATTGACCGGTCAAAGATTTGGCCTTCTCCTTTGACCGGTCTTGGGTGAAATACACCCATCACACTCGAAAAAAGTTAAATTGAACAAATGCACTTATACGACAAGAGTAATTTTTTAAGTTAGATGTAACGATATTTATTTACTCCGTATAATATTATACTCCCTCCGTCCCAGTTTAAATCGTCTGTTTTGACTTTTGGGCATATTTAAGGAAAATAAAAAATAGAGTTGATTTTTCGAAATTGACATTACTTTTTAAGAGGGGTGATGATGAAGGAGAAGATAAGGTGAAGAAGTGTGACTTATTTTAAGAGTAGTTTAGGTATTTTATTTTTAAAAGTTTACGAAAACAACTAACATGCAATTTATTTTGGGACGGAGAAAAAAAGCAAAGAGGTAATTTAAAATGGGACGGAGGGAGTACTTTTTTATGTTGATTTGCTATAATTTTAATTGTTGTTTTAAGGAAAAATAATAATTTATATAGTTTAATTTGTTAGAATAAATGCCTTTTTTTTTGTCTCCGTCGACCATTATATTAAACCCTGGAAGCCCTGCTTCGATTTTACGTTTACCACAAAATCACTCTTTTTTGGCATGCTCGCCAAACTCTATGAAAAGCAGTCGAGATCAAAGTGGTTATGATCATACGCACTCCACACACACACACACACACACACACACACACACACACACACACACACACACACATATATTCCACCTGCTCTTCATGATCACAACTACATCACATTATAAATGGCAGTTGGAATGTTATTTTCTCTAACTAATCTTCTTTCTCTTTTCCTTTTTTTAAATTTTTATTGGTGAGAAAAAATAGGAGTTAGATCCAAATAAACCACCAAAAGCCTCTTCCTTTCTTGGGTGATCATTATTGACTTATTCCAATCTTAAAATTTTATGATCTCTCTAACTAATGCTTGTTTTGTCGAGAATTAGATGTATAAACCTTGGTACGCACAAGAACCTTATATTATACATGATCGTTACTACCCGAAATCAACCCTAAATATTATTTCAAACTAAATCTCATCGTTGAGCTTTCTAGTCAGTCCTCAGTATTACTCAATTGTACGAAAAAAATGGTTTCTCACATGCATTTATAATAAAAAGCGGGAAAAAAACATTTGAAATAACAAAAAAATTATCGAAATAAGGGACGACCAACAATGCAACGTGACTCAAAGAATTAATCGTGAATTTTTCAAAATTAAAAGATCTACTAAATATGTATGAATCTACAACTTGAAACACTAATGAGAAAATATAACTTTTCTTTTCACAACATAATTGACCATTGAGTGGTTTAAGAAACAAGCTAAGCAAGAGGCACATGCCACATGCCACATCATAGAAGCTATGTGATCAAATCAGGTACCAACCACTCTCCATTATCACCACCATCTTCCCCTCATTCCTTAGCTTAGCTTAGCTTGTGTATAAGTTATATTAAGACCCCTCATTCTCTCTTTCCCTTCATTCCCAAGAGGCATCAAAAAATTCAAGAAAATGGCAATGTCTTCTTCTAGTGTGAGTTTCATGGCACTTCTCATTGCGAGTGTTTTATTATCGGGTAAGGTCGTCGTGCCCACTTTGGGTAAGACCTACACCGTCGGCGACTCCACCGGCTGGGGACTCGGCGGAGATTATGCAACCTGGGCCAGTGACAAGACTTTCAAAGTTGGCGATTCACTCGGTAAGTCGTCTTAGAATATAAAAATTTTCCCCAACTTATTAATTACAACATTCGTTTGTGTGTTCAATATACAGTGTTCAATTACCAAGGGGGCGGGCACACGGTGGACGAAGTGAGCGAGAGCGACTACAAATCCTGCGCCGCCGCAAATTCGATCAGCTCCGACAGCAGCGGCGCCACCACCGTCCAGCTCAAGACCGCCGGAAAGCACTTCTTCATATGCTCTTCCACGGGCCACTGCGGCCAGGGGATGAAGCTCGAGGTCAACGTTGTCAGGGACTCCGGTTCATCCTCCTCCTCCTCGGCCACCACTCCGTCTTCCCCTGCCGCCTCTAGCGCCACCCCTGCGGCCTCTGGCGCCCCCCCTGATCCGCCGTCTACGACGACTCCCAGTAAGAAATTGCCTTCTTCTTCATCGGCTGTCGCCGTTTCTCTGCCGTTAGCGCCGTTATTATTGGCGGCGATGAATTTGGTGGCGGTAATGATATAATTGGGTTCCCTTTAGTGAGTCATGTTAGAAACTACTCCCTCAATTCCGGAATAAATGTCTATACTCTATATTAAAGATTATTAGATATATTAAATTTTGAATGACTATAGACTTAAATATGTCTATGTTCATTTAAAATCTTATACATCTAATAAATCATAATAGACAGTTATTATGGAATGAAAAAAATAATTATACTTGATTCTACCGATCACAATTATCTGTGAATTTGTCCATACGCAAATGATAATCGTCTATAAACATACAATGTTTCTAGACAATTAACGTCAATTTGTGTATAAGTTCACAAACGATTGTCGTATCTGAAGTATCGATTGTAATACTAAGTTTCTAGCATTTTTGCCAGCTTTTATTTGTGTGAGCCAGGATAGAGGCAGTGCATTTGCTTCTTCTTCTTCTTATTCTCTTTATGTACTTTCATTTGTTTTCAAATTATTCCATTGCATTTGCTACCCAGTTATGTTGTGCTACTATTGTTGAATTTCTTTTTGTACCTTTATGGAGTGTGATTTGGTTACAAGTTCTTTTTGTGTGTGTGTGTATGAAGTTTTATTGTATCTTGCAATTTAAGATTATTTATTTATTCTTAATTTGATTCGCAGATGAAAATTAGTGTATAGTTTCAAAATATTCAGTACACATTTTACAAAATTTTATACTACGTTAAAAAAAATCTAAAACATAGGTAACAAAGTCATATCAGATACTCATATTATTTTATTGAATGAGTAATTACAGTGCCAAATAATTACTCCCTCTATTCCAGAATTTTTTTATTTGTTGTTTTTTTTAAAGTTAAATTGCATTGCGTATTATCACCTTGGTTCCCATGACATTGGAACCAATGTCATGAGATGGCCCGGGGGCGCTCCGGTGTCTCGTTCGTAAAATTGACGGTTCCTAACCCCCCTAACCCCCCCGGTAAACCCCCCACCCCGCCCCGACCCGAACACACCCCTCCACCCCCTTCAATTGCACCCCACAAGTCGATTTTGACTTTGGAGTCAAATTTCACTCCAAAGTCAAAATCGACTTGTGGGGTGCAATTAAGGGGGGTGTGTTCAGATCGGGGCAGGGTGGAGGGTTTACCGGGGGGTTAGGGGGGTTAGGAACTGTCAATTTTACGAACGGGGCACCGGAGCGCCCCGCGTATTATTCCCTCCATGTGTTGTTCTCTCTTGCCATTGAAATGGGCCAAGCCCAATGTGATATACTGAAAACCTGAAATGGCTTATTAGCCATTGACCCATTTAAACACTGGGTTTTTACGCAACTGGTGTTTCAGACCAGACCATTGGCAAATATATTGGGCCAACCAATATCGAGTACTACGTAATTAGTTGCTCAATTACATGGGTTATAAACTGGCCCACACGCCATTGTAATTAGTTGGGCCACATGCAAATATACTTTCGCCATTTTTCTTTCCAAATTCCAATCAAACAATAAAGAGGAATGCTAGTGGTACACCAAAAGGTGTACCCCAAATGTACATTACCCCTTTCTTCACCATACATTTTTACTTGATTTTTATTTATTTATTTTTTTTAAATTTTTTTGCCTTTTTTAGTGGACAAGGAGGGGTGGGGTGCATAATGGTGTACCACTAGCATTTTTCAACAATAAAACTTTATCAATTTCGTTCCCAATTCCCTCATCTTCCATATTTTCCCCGCAGTTATATCCAAACTTGTATACAAAATTTTTTTATCGATTTTGTCATTTGGCAGTGAAAAATCGGCCTCGTTTGGCAACAACGTTATAAATTAGCGTTAGCGTTTTGAAAAAGTTATCTGACGGTAGCCTTTAACGTTAGTGTTTTTCTGAATTGATCTACACCGTTATTATTTTGTCCAAAACGCTAACGCTAATTGAAAACACTCTTTCCAAACAAGGCCGATGTGGCGTCTCTCGTATTCAATGTTGGATAATTTAAGCGGCCCTCTTCTTATTTTCGACCCGATCTAGTTGGGTCATGACTTAAGATCATAATTTTGGGCTCTACCTCAGTGTCTCCTGATCCATTTTACTCTTATGGAGTCAAAACTCTGTCCTTTTGGGCCGATCCACTTTCTGTGGTCCGAAGCTCAGTTCTTCACTTCTCACCCGACCCGATTAATATTATTCTGGACCGGACGGACTCTCACCACTTATTTCCCTTTATTGTTTGTTTGGGCTTGGGTCATGTCATAGTGTCCTTCATATCTATTTAATATACAATATATATTTTATTTAATTATAGGTTAATAGTTGAAAATAATTGATCAAAAGTGTCAAAATTGGACAAATATTATGACACAGAGCCAATATAATTGTTTTGACTCGTGGCCACTCTATAATACTCTAACTAGAATGGTTTTTTTAATAATTAAAATGAAGGAATCTAATAGAGGGAGACCCTCGGAACCTTGTTTCATTTTAACAACGTTCTTTACCCATTTTCGCGACCCATTTAAAAAAATAATATAGTTTATCACCTAGTATTTTATTAAATATTTGAAAAAACTTTTGAAAATAATATATAAATTTATTTTTTAATTTCTTATCAATTTTCAAATAAATTTAATTAAAAATATATTCAGTGAAACAATAATACTCAATTTTTTTTAAAGAGATGAAGTAAATAGGGTGGTAATGTGGTATGAGGAGAAAAGGTACATGTTGGGCACATGTTATAAGCCAAATATTCCGAATCTATGGGACTAAATCACATTTAACCTATGAACCAAAGCTTACGTGTAATGGAGGGTCATGTTATGCCACGTACCCATTCTATCCCATTGGATTTGTTCTTTGACTCCACACAATTTTACGTGGTGTAAAATCTTATCATTTTTGAAATGATTTTATTTATAAAATTGATATAAAAATAAAATGTATAATTACATCGTTTAAAAATATATTAAAAAATTTATAAAATAAGAAATAACAAGAATATTTTATTTTGTCAAATGTTCAATAATAATATGCAATGTAACATAAGTTATCCAGATGTCCTAATACTAAATTGGAAGAAATATATGAGACTGGAGGAGTAATTTTCAGAAAATAATGTGTAAAATTAAATACAAGACATACGATTAGGCTTAGAAATGAATTGAAAAAATTACTAATAATCTATTTTCACAAGAACATTGATCTTTTTAAAATATTAAATCTCAAATTAATTTTTTTAAAGTCAAAGCACATTTCATACCGGAAGGCAAACCCTTTCAATAGGAAAATTTGATTCCAAAAGGCAATATAATGAAGTTTTAAAAAAGTTTACCTTAGGTTGGTATTTTCTTAGATAAATTAGTTGTAATTTAAAATTTTAAATTCATATTAAGATTTGCATTTTGCATGGAATAAATTTAAAATATCAAAAACTATGCATTAAATCTATTAAATTATTTTATTTTAAATTCTGGAGTAATTTTTAGGTATATAAATCAATATAAAGAATTTTAAAAAATACAAGTTTTGGAAAAAGTAAGATAATTATACAATATCATTAAAATTTTATTCAAAAATATAAATTTATACTCTAAAAACGAATAGTAAGAAAAAAATAAAATTATAACATTATTTTTATAACATTATTTTTCATAGTAAAGTATAGAATTTTGAAAATTCTTAGATTAACGGGCGAGTCAGGTCGGGTTTGTATTCGGTCAAGCTTGAACCATTCTTAGTAGGTCATTTCGAGTTCGGTCATCAAAATTTGTGTTCAAAACTCAGTATTTTTGAATCTAGTTTTAGATAAAAAACAAGTCAGGTCATTCTTTTCCGGTCAAATCAAAATGAACAAACTTATGCATTTTTTTAAATAATACAATAAAAATAATAATGTATGCAGTTTAAAGAGATTGTTGGGTTAATGTTAACTACAAGTATTTATTTGGTTCACAAAACATGCACCATTACACCAAAAAAACTCGGGTTGAACCCGGTTGATATAGAAAAACAAGAAAAAAAGAGTACTCGAACTCTATCCCGGTTCCTCTCAGACGACTCGAGGTCCATACGGGATCAGGTTCCGTGTCTAGTGTCTAACTCAAGGAGAAAGGCGAGATTAATTATTTATTACTAATCTGTGATCAAAATCGAAGTTGGGATTTTGCTTTCATCCTTTTTTAGAATAATAATTTGTCGTGATGCAAAAATTTCTGTTATTCTTCATTTTTAAAATCTGTATATAAATGCCATCCAGAAACCACCGAGAAGCAATAAAGCCTCCATCATCATGACTATGAGACACAGCTCAACACACCAAGGAAGACGACGATGAACGAATCTAATAACCCTTTCTACTGCTCTACTCACATAGCATCCCCGCCCAATTCTTGTATTCCATACGGACTTTAAGGAGGACAGTTACTCGTTCTCCGCGTTCTCTGCCGTTTCACAGGCCGCCGCCGGAGATGGCGAAGAGGAGGAGGAAGACGGTGGTGCTGCTGCGGCGCGTGCTGACCTGCGCCATATGCGCGATAGCCCTCGTCGCCCTGTTCTCCGCGCACGTTCTCGTCATGACTTCTCCCTCATCCGGAGTCACCAAGCTCCCCACTGTAACTTTCCTTCACTCTCTCTCTCTCTCTCTGCTCAGGAATTGAGCTTTGATTTCTCGTTTCTTTGATCTGTATCTCGCCAGGGCTTCGTCTCTTTGAACAGAGCTAGACGTCGGTTATTCTCAGTTTTCCAGAAAGTCCGAGATGGGTTTCGATTATGATTCCAATTTCTACATTAATTGGGGGGGTTTTTTTTTGTGAGGAATTATTATTCGATTTGCTTCACTGTCATGTGCTTTTCTTGATGTCACATGTGAATCTTACATTTGGGGATTGGGCATTTCATTTGAACACTTTATAGAATATAACATGTGCTTTTCTTGAGGTCACATGTACATCTACTCATTCAGTAAATCATTTTTTTTTAATTTTTGAATGATTGGGATTTGATTCTGATATGGGTTGTTTACTATTGTAGCTATACGAATTTGGGTACCAAAGACTGAGCAGGGAGAGAAGTTGGACTCAAGAAATTTTCCCGTCCAATCTGTCGAAAGTCCCCCTACCTGCTAGCAAGGTTTTATATATTTTCTTTCTTGTGATTGAAATTGTTATTGTTATTTGAAGTGTGATGTTAAATTGTCTGCAAAGATTTGTGCAAGCAACATCGTAGATTACCTAATATTTGGTGATCAATTTGCATGTTTATGGAGTCTTTATAGTGTTTTCATATATTCTCACTCGTTTAGGTTTGGCATACCGATGGCTCAAACCGGAGTTCAAATTTGGACAAGTTATGGAGACCTCTGCCGAATAGAAACTATGTTCCTTGTGTTGCCCCAAGCTCTTTGTATACGCGTGAGGACTTGTTTTTCTGGCACGATGAGAGCTTGTTGCTTTGCCATTTTTGTTAATAAAAGAGTTCTGTTAATATGTTTCTGATTTTGTATTTCATAATAATTTCATCTCCAGCTCCTCGAAAGTCACAAGGGTACCTGCTGGTTCATACTAATGGCGGGCTTAATCAGATGAGGGCCGGGGTTTGTCATTTTCTATTCTATTTCTTTTCAATTACACTGGATCTTTGATGCCTCTTTTATTTTCTTAATCAAGCTGTTTGGGTCTAAATCATCACTATTTGTTGCTTGCAGATATGCGATATGGTTGCTGTTGCCCGTATCATAAATGCTACTCTTGTAATTCCGGAGCTTGATAAACGATCTTTTTGGCTGGATTCTAGGTTTTTTTTTCTGTCCCTTAACATGGCATTCATAGATTACTTGGTTAGATTTTTGATGGAAGGGGAGGGAAAATGTGAGTTTTCTCTCACTAATTTTTTTCTATTGGTTAGTCATAGTGTCATACTAGAAAATACCTCACATATGTTTATTTAAGTCATATATTTCTTTGTAAATTTTTCTAAGCTTCAATTTTTTAATGCAATAAATATCACCCTGCCCCTCCCCAAATTTCCCAAGCAAATAACTAAACTAGGGCTCTAAAATTTATGTATGCCTTCATCACAGCAATTTCCGAGATGTATTTGATGAGGACCATTTCATCAGTTCTTTGGCAAACGATGTGACAATAATAAAAAAGTTACCTACTGAGCTGGCAAGTGCAACTAGAGCAGTTAAGCATTTCAGGAGTTGGTCAGGCATGGAGTACTACGAAGAAGAAATTGGCAGCTTGTGGAAAGAGTACAAGGTCATTCGGGCAGCAAAGTCTGATTCGCGGTTAGCTAACAATAACCTCCCCCCTGACATTCAAAAATTGAGGTGCAGAGCTTGTTATCAATCCCTTCGTTTCTCACCCCGGATTGAAGCAATGGGAAAGGTTTCATTTCTCTCTACTGTCATTCTTGTTTTTTTCCCCAAGGGTTTTAGTGTCATGCGTATTTCAACTACATTGGTACTGTTAATAATGTTGCACATTTTCATTTGTGTTATCTGCTATTGTCATGCAGTTGTTGGTTGACCGTATGCGATCCTATGGTCCATATATTGCTTTGCATTTAAGATATGAAAAAGACATGCTTGCGTTTAGTGGATGCACTCATGATTTATCCCCAGAAGAAGCTGAGGAATTAAAGGGAATCAGGTTGGCATGTAATGTAATTCAAGGCCAGAAATTTGTGTTCATGTGATACCGTACTCCCTCGCCCCCCACATCTGTCAAAAAAAAGACTTTTTTTTCCCCAAATATTTTTTTTTGTAAAAAAATTGGAAAAACCGTCACGAAGTCAAAGGAGAGGGTAGTAATGTTTTAAAGACACGAATTTTATAAAACCATTTTTTATTTTATTTTCAGGGAGAACACCACTTGGTGGAAAGTGAAAGACATTGACCCCGAAGAACAGAGAGCCAAAGGCTATTGCCCTTTAACTCCAAAGGAAGTTCGAATGTTCCTTTCAGCTCTAGGGTTTCCATCGACAACCCCTATATACATTGCTGCTGGGGAAATATATGGGGGCGATTCCCGCATGGCTGATCTACGATCGCGCTTTCCCTTATTAATGAACAAGGAAAAGCTGGCTTCAGCTGTGGAGCTTGAACCGTTCATGAATCATGCATCTCAGATGGCTGCACTGGACTATATTGTGTCGGTTGAGAGTGACATTTTTATCCCTTCCTACTCTGGAAATATGGCAAGAGCAGTTGAGGGTCATCGTCGCTTCCTAGGGCACAGGAAAACCATTTCTCCTGACAGGCAAGAGTTGCTTCTCTCTCTCTCTCTCTCTCTCTCTCTCTTTCTCTCTCACACACACACGCACAAATATTTTTCTTTTTTTCTTATTTCTTAGAAATATCCGGTGATGGACGGCATTCTGTTTTCTTCAGGAAAGCCCTTGTCCGTCTTTTTGACAAAGTTCAGATGGGAAAACTGAGAGAAGCCAGTGATCTGTCGGATCGTGTCATTGAAATCCACAAAAGAAGGTACTTTATCATGAAATCTGCTCAACCAAAGGCATACGTTCATGCTGAGAATATATCATAGGATTATGGAAACTTAGTTTTCTAAATAAGTCTTTTCGTTTATTTAACTATAACAAACCCAGTAGAATTCCACAAGACAGTAACTTCACACTCTCTTGTAAAAATACCTGCCTAGGTCCTACCACCCTGCCCTGCCCACTTATATTTTTTTCTCTCTCGAATTGAACCTACCTCTTTTTCCACCCAACCCACCCAAAACCCTCCTAGTACCTAATGTTTGTTAGAACACTGCCTATACATTAGGCACATTTGACTATTTTATGGTGCATTTCAATACCTTGCCGTGTTCTTGCGTTATATCAAGAACACTTTTTTGGGAGACCTTTTTTTTATAATATGGAGTATAATTTTAAGGGGTATTCTTATATGGACCTTGGTCATAAGTTGTGAACTATATAAGGAGTAATAAACAAACGTATTTTGATAATAAATTCATGAGTTGTTCTGTATATAATTGCTGGGTTGGTTGGATCAGGCAAGGGTCGCCAAGGAAGAGAAAAGGGCCAGTATCAGGAACAAGAGGAATGGACAGATTCCGTTCCGAGGAGGCATTTTATGTGAACCCTCTACCTGATTGCCTGTGTCTCAAACACCCGCCAATGCATGCATCAAACAACTCCCTTTCCATCACTGTAACATAACAGAGACAAAAAAAAACAGCATAATCTCTTCTCTAACTTGGAGGTACACACACACTTGTATACTTGGGGGGGGGGGGTATCGGGATTCTTAATTATATTGACTTGAGAAACTTGGGCTTCATGCGAACATGATGTGTACATCGGACGAGAATCTATACGAAAAATATATATCATCTGGGAGTGGATAGAACGATCGATAGATGATTTTGGAATGTGAAGAAAACTTGAGATGAAAAGAGATGGGAAGAGTTCCATATTGAAGCTGCTCTGTTCTATTGCATGAAAAGCCTGAGGGAAAAAGCACACATTGTGTTGTACATACTGCAAATTAGAGTCTCACTTTCTGCAGCAATGTACATTGACCAACCTGATTTTTTTGCACTTCTTTTATTCTTTTTTTCCCCTTCTCCTCCTTTTACGCTTTGCTTTTTTGTCCATTGTTTTGAACAAAAAGAAACAGAACTGACTTGCTGGATATATATAATGTGTATTGTGCAGCTCTTACATTCTTTTTTTCTTAAATAATTATCTCTTACGACTGTTTATATAAACTAAAAGTGAATGAATGGAAGTATACGTTATATTTAGAGCAGTGGTAATGGGCACGACGCCCAACCATGTTAAGGGACACTTGGGGGGCCGTTAAAGTTGCTGCGTCTTTGACGCAGCTTGAATTGGAAGTTGGGAACCCCTCCCCCATTTTTTTCCTCCTTTCTCTATAAATTGAATCAATTTTTTTAAAATTCGACATAAATACAAATCTTTCTCTATCTATCATTTTTCTTTAAAAAATTATTATTCAAGTATTTTATTTATTTTGTCATGAATGTAATTTTTTTAATTTAATGAATGTAATTTTTTATAATGAATGTATTTTTTTAATGAACTATTCTCGTTTCAAATCTTTTAGATAATTAAATAATAAAATTTAATTAATTTAATTTTAGAAAATGTGTATTTAAAATGCAAAAAATCAGAGTTTGAAATCCCAATTTGAAGTCTCGGGGCTTCAAACACATTTCCACTAAAAGTGTGAGATAAGTTAAAGCTGACGTGACAGAGAGAAAATATTTAAAGTCTCGGGATGGGTATTTCCAGTGCTATTATATTTGTTTGATTCCTAAGGTATGTAGAAAGTCGTAATGAACATTTATCTGAGAACCGGAGATCTCTAAAAAAATTGCAGGCAAAGGACATAAAAAAAACCACAATACAAATATTTCTCGTATAATATCCCAAGAAAAACATTGGGCGGGGGTGCAAACAACACAATGCATACAAAACACAAACAATGGTTCGAGTAGTCCTACTTGAATCTAGGTTTGATTGAATGCAGACCACCCATGAAAGGGCGCAGGGGATCAGGAATGACAACAGACCCATCTTCTTGCTGATAGTTCTCGAGCAAGCACACAATCATGCGTGGAACTGCGCATGCAGTGGCATTTAGTGTGTGGACGAACTGCGGGGGACCCACATTTTTCCCCTTCGGGATGGCAGACGACGATGACGAATCTGGACGGTACCTTATTCCCAGTCTCCGGCTCTGGTAGTCTGTACAGTTTGAAGCACTGGATATCTGTTCAACATCATCATAACATCACCATTTCAGAACTTGGCCACATAGAGAAGTGCAGCGAGGTGGATTGTTATGGGTACCCAACCCGCCCGGGACAGTAATGAGACATGTTTGGTAGACAGCAATCGGGTTCATGGGTCTGGGTTGATTTTGTAATTTTTACTTGTCAACATTTTTTTAAAAAATACTTCTTGTGAAGTCAAAGTTGGAAAACTAATTTGGGACGGAGGGGGCATGTAATAATCTTATCTTAGTCTTAATATGTGTAAATATGTCTGTATTGTTTCATTTTGAGTTTACAAATGGGGGTTGGGTTGTATTGGGTACCCACGGGTGTACGGGTAGGGGTGAGGGGGCATCACATTATAGGTTTACCTCACCATAGCGGCCAAGACCAGGCATCCATGCCTCCACATCAAATTTACGATATGCGGGTGCACCTAAATCCTCTGATGCCATCTCCATTGTTCTGTAAAGAGAGTTGTGAACTAGAGATCAACGGATAGAGAGGGAGAGAGAGCAGTACAGTACAGTACATGCCATCTCCATGATTCCAAGAACTTTTAATGATAAATACCTGAAATGAAATCCAAGAGATGCAAAGAGGTCTTCTTCAATTCCAATAAGCTCTTCGTGATAAGCATTGCTTTCCTCTGGCCGGCATATTATGAACATCTCCACCTTACTGAACTGGTGCACTCGATAAAGACCCCTGCCCCAAAAAACAAACATAAATTATGCAATTGAAACGAACTCAATGAAAATTCAAGTAGTTCAATTATATTTAAATGTAAACCCTTAAAGAAAACAAAGAATTAGAAAAGAACATCCCCGTGAAGCCATTTTTTCAGAATAGTAGATATAAATACGGAGTATAAAAGAGCTAATACTAGTACATTACTTCAACTGGTCCTCAACTTTTGTGTTGGACTCAATTTGGTCTTCGACCATGAAATATGGATCCCAAATTAGGGTTCACGCATAATTGGCTCTAAGTTAAAGACATCAAATAAACCTGTTCTACTTTAGGACTCAATTTGTCTCAACTATGTAACTTAGACCAATTTAGGCCTCAAATAGGGATACCCCTCTTATTCAGAGCAAAATATGCATGACTTCTACGGTGAGTCTAGTTTCAACACTCGATGATCACATTTGATTAAAAATCAAGTTTACAACCAAATTGAATAAATATGGTTTAGTGGAGGGGCCAACTCAGATATCAACTCTAAAAAAACTCGACTTGCTTAAAAGACAGATTAGTTACCTTGTTGCAGTGCCAGCAGCACCAGCCTCGGTGCGGAAACAATGGGAGAACGCCACATACTTCAATGGTAATGATGAGTTGGGAAGTATGGAATCCATATGAATTCCCCCAACTGGAATCTCTGCTGTGCCAATGAGGCATTGATCAGTGTTCTCGATGGAGTAAACCTGTTTTCATTTTTGTAAAAAAATAAAATAGAAAGAAAGAAGCATTTTCACGAATTCAATCATATGAAAAACTATTCATTTCACAATTACTAGTCCAGTAGTTTTCATAGTCATAATAAATAGGAAAAAGCTGGTTGTTGTTGAACAAAAACTGGTTGTTGTTAAATATTTACAAACCTGAGTGGTAGTCCCACGGGGCTGGAAACCACACTTCTCAATAAGAGAGGACCGGACAATTTCTGGTGTAGTTAGAGGAACAAAGCCTCTTTTCATAACTTCAGAGAGAGTCCAGTTCACAAGAGCCATTTCTAACAGGACAGCTTCATTTTTTAGGTAATAAAACTTAGAACCACTGACCTATCAAAAAAACAAACAAGAAATTGTTCTTTAATGGATGGTACAAGTTCTTGTAGTAATGCACTTAGGTGTAGTTTGGTAGCCCATAATGACATGTAATGAAACTAAATACTGTACATTTTTATAGTAAATTTACGCAGCACACATTTGGTGACATTACGTTTAAATACATCTTGCCAACTTATACCTTATTGCATGGTGAAATTTGTTAGAACTAATTCTAGGAGAATTGCTGAAAGATAAAAACTACCTCAGCAGCTGCATCAAAATCAAGCAAATCCAGTTCCTTCCCAAGCTGGACATGGTCCTTCAAAGGGAAGCTAAATTCACGAGGTTTAGAAACCTACACAAAAAGATGGATTGGCATAAAGAAAAATAATATTAATATGTACAAAAAAATGCATAAAAAAAACAGTTCGGAAAAGCACCACTTGCCGAACAGTAGAACAATCCTCTCCTCCCACAGGGACATCTGGATGCGTCATATTTGGTATACATTGGGCTTCTTGCTGAAGGTCGTCAGAGAGCTTCAGGAGGTCTTCTTCCAGACTAACCAGTGCATCCTTCAACTTTTTCCCTTAAAAAAGTATACGAAAGTCTAGAGAAGGTTACAGCAACCAAGAAATGTATTACAGCTGGTCATAATGTTATAGGAACCTTCTTCTATGAGTTTCTGGCGTTCGGCAGGCTCTAGTTTTCCTTTCATCTTGTTCGCAACCACATTTCTTTCTGCACGAAGCCTTTCAACTTCCTGCTATCTGTGACTAACAATTAGTTATACTTGGCAAAAAATACTAACCCTACACGACGCTTAAAAAATAATACTCCATAAAACTTCTACATGAAAAATCTTTTTGGAAAATGATCCTAAAAAATAATCACATATCCCCAAAGGGCAAAGAATAAGAGACCTTGTGGAGAACAACTATGGTTGGGTAAAATATATCTCTCTCCATTTTTACCAGGCATTTGCCTCCAAAATTCTCAGTTTTCTAAAGAAAAAGTTTTGTTCTCTTTGAGCTATGGGAGTGTTTTTAGGAGTCCATGCTAATAAGCAACTAATGCATCGAAGAAGAATAACTCGATTGGCAATGGAAGCAACTAACCCTAAAACAACAATGAGGGCAATCAATCATCCACCTACATTACTTTGACGAGCTCTAATTTAACCAGAGAAATTGAATACAATTCGATTTCAACCTAACCTTCTGAACATTGAGTAAGCGCTCGTAAAGCTCTAGAACAAGCCCCAAGTTCGCGCTGGAGTTTCGGTTCTTAATATTCACTGCCACGGACTCCTTGTTCTCCCTAATCCACTTGAAATCGATCGCAGCTTTCCAACGGTGAGGCTTCGGAGCTAAGGTCGCCGAAATCCAGTCTCTCGTCAGGTAAAAGAAAAAAAAATCATTGACAAAAAGGGAAGGGGGAGGGAAAAATAGGAGCAGTTACTTTCTTCTCTGGTAGAGGCGGAGGCGCCGGCGACTGTGGATTGGTCTACGGCGGCGGAAACAGAGAGAGCTCTGAGCAACTGGCGTACAGGCGGGGTTTTAGGACGCGGCGGGAAGAGGGAGAGAGACGGGAGGGCCGCGAGCTTCAAGGATTTGAAGGTCGAAGAGGTGAAGCAATGGTGAAGAGCCATGGATGATGGCGGCTAAACCTTTTGCTCCGTCGAAAGATTTATGCGAATGCGCATTCAAACAAATTGTGTCAGTCCAAATTTTGATACCAAAATGACTAAAAAAAATATTGAATACTTTTAATTTTAATTAAAATTTTTAGAATGTTTGTTTAGTTTGATCTTTTCGAATTAAATTAGACGAACTATGAGCCTTAATTAAGTAAAAATTATGATGTATTTTAGTATAAAAGTGATTTTAAAATATTTAACTTGTTTAAAATTTTTTAAAATTTATTCCATTAATCCATAGTACTAAAATACAATATACATTAAGAGTAATTGATAATTAAAGTTTTTCTAGTTTGAATTTTGAGTTAGGAAAGCTTTATACCAAATACTACATGACGCATTCAAAAGCTTACATACGCATTCCCTTCAAGATATTTCTCTCCAATGCATCTAAACTTGACAAAAAACGTGACTTGATGTCTTGTTAGAGCTTTTTCGATTAACGTATGGAATTTCGTGTTCTTTAAAGTAATTTTATTTACAAATTAGTATTAAAATAAAAATTACTATATATTTAAAAAATAAATTAAAAATTCTACAAAATAAGACAGACAAATGCTATTGTGGATCTAAAATTTTCATCATTTTAGATGGACCTTCACATGAGTAAAAAAACAATGCTTACTACCGTGATGAACATTTTTATTGCAAAACAATATGTAAAAAAAAAATACTCCACTCTTACGAAGGTTTACTTAAAATTGTGTGGACCTTAGGTCTACCAAAAAAACACTCAACAAGAAATGACAAAATTATTTTATTTTATCAAAATGATCATTGAAAACATGTAAACAAACAAGAGTTATCAAGAGACCTTATGGAAAAAATATATGTAGCTATAACGTAAACTTAGTAAAATTGAATTTATTCTAAAATATAGTTTTGAAATATTAAATTTTTATAATATTTAATTATTTTAGAATGTATGTAATTGTAATCAAAGGATGTCACAGTTTGACCAAAAAAGTCAAAATGTAGCAATCTTTGTTAGAGACAGAGTAAATAATTGAGACTCAAAAGATACTTCGTATATATACACCGTAGTCAATATAGAGATACACTTCCCTTGACTACTTCAAGGGTCAATCAAGTCAATTGGGTTCCTCATCAACTCCTACCCTCTCCCCACAAATTGACTAATGTCACAGTTATGTATACTTATGGCATCCCTGTGGACAGTTGGCAGTTGAAACTTGACTTGTTTTATTTAAAAAAAAATCGGACAATGTTGCGAGTCCAACGATAGGACCTCCGAATAGATCAGTGTCATATTATGACACCGAGCGTTGTCGAAAGAGCCAGGCTCATATTACCCTTTGGTAGAACAAAGTGGACAATGTCTCCCTTTCTGGTGTGGATTTCTTCCAGATGAGCCAATTGTTTGTGAGCCCCATGAAAGACAGATCACAAAGAAAAGGTCTTGTCTTCCTTGACATAACACATTCCATATATTCATATATATCATCACCACATCAGATTCCATCTATAACCATATCTAACTCCAACTTACCAGAACAAAAGATGCATGTTCAATCAGGGTGCCTTTTACTCTTCCTTCTTCAGAGCAGCATCATCTTCACTGACTCCAATGGAGAACCTGAAGCAAATGTCATGAAGGGACTCGCTTCGTCTCTTTCCCCCACACCCAAAGGCTGGAACGCGTCCCTCAGCCATTGTAGATGGCCTGGAGTAACTTGTGACAGCTCGTTTCAGGTGACTGATATTGACCTGTCACGCCGGTCCCTCTTGGGGACGTTGCCTGGTAACCTAAACTCCCTCTCAAAGCTCACTTATCTGTATCTGGACAACAACCATTTCACGGGTAGCATGCCTTCGCTTGCCAACTTGACATTCCTCCAAGACACCACAATGGACTACAACAACTTCACTTCCATACCGGATGATGCCTTTGAGGGGCTAATCAACCTAGTATATTTCTCTATTGGTAATAACCCAAAACTCAGCCCGTGGACCTTTCCCGGTGTCCAATTACAACGATCTCAGTATTTGAATCGATTCAATGCTAGCAGATCCAGTCTTAGTGGAACTTTACCGGACATGTTTGGCTCATGGCCTGCGTTGCAAGAATTTGACCTAACCTACAACAGCTTTGTCGGTTCGTTGCCACGGTCATTTGCAGGGTCCAATATCTACACCTTGTGGCTTTCTGATCAAGAAGAAGGTTTCTCTGGTGCACTTGATGTCCTTGCGAACATGAGTTCGTTGTGGTCGGTCTGGTTGAACGGCAATAAGTTTCAAGGGCCTATTCCTGACCTCTCTAAGTGTACCTCAATCATAGAGCTTGGACTTGAGGACAATTTATTAACAGGAATTGTCCCCTTGTCCTTGATGGCTTTACCCAATCTGGATTACATTGATCTGCACAACAACAAACTTCAAGGGCCGTTGCCAGTTTTCGGATGGAATGTCACTGCAATAGTTGGCGAAACAACTAATAACTTCTGTAAGGTTACGCCCGGATCGTGTGACCAGCAAGTGATGGCTTTGCTTCAGGTTTCCGAAGCACTTGGCTATCCGGCAAAGCTTGGAGATGGATGGAAGGGTAACAATGCTTGTAATCAATGGGTATTTGTTAGGTGCGATTCCTCGAAGAACAATGTTACCATCATTGATTTTTCCAAGCAGCATTTCAATGGCACCATCTCCCCTGCTTTTAGAAATTTGACATTTCTGGTCGAGTTGCACTTGAACGATAATAATTTGACCGGCACAATACCAGAGAGTTTGACACACTTGACCAAGCTCAAAATAATGGATATTTCTCGTAACAATATTCTCCCACCATTGCCACACTTTGCGTCTCACGTGAATGTAACAGTTTCAGGGAACCCGAAACTAGTTACAAGATCTGGCCATACTGGAGGAACAGGATTTCAGGTGAGGAGCTCGCGACGAAAAGCTTCCACTAAGGTAGTAGTTTTCCTCATAGTCCTAGGAGCATTTATCACTATAATATTCGTCGTGTGTATTCTAGTATACAAAAAGAGAAAGCCCATGAAACAAGTTGATGTGTTGGGGAAGTCGCAACATTTTCTACCCGACTCCCCAACTAGATTCAGTTACGAGGTTCTAAAGGCTGCGACCAACAACTTTGATATGCAACGAAGACTTGGAGGTGGTGGATTTGGGTCGGTTTTTGAAGGAATTTTAAGCAATGGATCCAGAGTTGCAGTAAAGAGACTAGATCATTTTGGGCAGGGAATGAAAGAGTTTCTAGCCGAAGTCCATACGATAGGTGGCATACACCATCTCAATTTAGTCAAATTGGTCGGTTTTTGTGCTGAACAGGCACACAGGCTTTTGGTGTACGAGTACATGAGTAACGGGTCATTGGACAAGTGTATATTCCTTGACGGTTCAAAGACCGGGCTCAATTGGGATACTAGAAAAAGGGTCGTTTTGCACATTGCCAAGGGACTCGAATACTTGCACGAGGATTGCGCAAAGAGAATAGCCCACTTGGATATAAAACCACAGAATGTGCTTCTGGACGAAGGATTCAACGCCAAGTTATCAGATTTTGGCCTTGCTAAGCTAATCGACAGGGATCAAGACTACGTCATGACGCAGATGAGAGGAACGCGAGGGTACCTTGCACCTGAATGGCTGGGTGGGAAAATCACAGAGAAAGCTGATGTTTACAGCTATGGAGTTGTGTTGTTGGAAGTGGTGTTTCAAAGGCAAAACCTGAGTGATGACCGATTGATTGACATAGTGAGGGAGAAAGTTGAGCAAAGTGAGTTGTCTGTCTTGATCGATAAATGCATAGAGGACGACGAGCAAGAGAATGGCCCCCAAGTCGAGGAAATGATCGAGCTAGCACTTTGGTGCTTGCATGTGGATCCAAACAGAAGGCCTGCAATGTCCACAGTAGTTAAAACATTAGAAGGTGCAATGAATATACAGTCGTGTATTACTATTAGTAGGAAGGATTTCTTACCCTCTGCAATGGGAATATCAACTACCAGTGTTGCGACCGTATCATCATCATCTGCAGGGCCTAGATAATAACATCAGCACTTCTAATTAATTGTAATTAGCCTTATTATTTTTGTGAGATATGTACCAAGTGTGTAGTTCTTTCAATTCGGATATATATGAAGCTCTTTAATCAATACAGTTTTGTTTTGCGGAATAAAAGGAAAACTAACTTACCCCTCTTGTTAAAATTACCATATAATTAATCAGCAAAATGGTGTTAACCAAACAATGCCAACGCTGAATCTATTTATGTAACGAAAATGGTTTCAACTAGCAACCAACAACTTTAGGGCTTTGTTCATCAATGTAACCTCTTTGTAGGACATATACTACAGAGATAAAATTGAATGAGAAGAAGAAAATCAGAAGCAGAAAACAGAAGGAAGTGGTCTCAAGCATCATCAAGTGCAAGAACACCAGGAAGCATTTTCCCTTCAAGTAGCTCCAGGCTAGCACCACCTCCAGTTGAGATATGGCTCATCTTATCTGCAAGCCCAACCTTCTCGACTGCTGCAACCGAGTCTCCTCCTCCGATGATTGTCGTCACTCCCTTTCCACTAAGCTCTGCCAGTTTCTTCGCAATGGCCTACGAACAACAACACCAACAATTGACAGATGTAAAATCCACAGAGAATTAAGAACAGTTAGTGATTATAAGAAGCAAAATCAGAAAGAGTATTTAGAGAGACAAAGTTTTGTGCTGCCCTTCGTATAACAAGAGTGTGTGATCTCTCCGGAGAAAGAAATGTCATCTTTACAGTACAAGCTTTGTACATGCTAATCATGATCCGTAATTAGTAGGTGTAGGACAGCCTAGGACTAATTATGAAACGTGACCGGTTAGGTTTCAGTCACGTGGAGATCATGTCTCAGTCTCTCTGATCTAGCTGCAACCATAATCCACACCAAGCAAGGCTGGACCTCACTTCCCGGTTATCAAAACCCAATACCCTTTTCATGTGGGCCTATGCCTCACTTCGGGGCCCGGCACTCCAACCCCTCTCACAACATATTGGGCCTAATTACAACTCGCTAAATAAATAATTGGGCAGGGAACAATGGGCCAATTCCCAATATACCCATCAACAATAATAGGAACAACTCAGTAAGGTTCCAAAAGTAGTGCCTGGGTGTAAGCAGACCTAAAAAGGCAGTGAAGCTTTTTAAGAAATATTTGATGTCTTTTAACAACAAGTTAGAGAGTCAAACCTCAGTCCCAGCAGCAAACTTGTCAAACTCAAACACACCCATAGGCCCATTCCATATGATTGTTTGGGTGGCATCCAAAGCTTCACCAAATGACTTGATTGTATCAGGTCCAACATCTAACCCCATCCAGCCATCTGGTATTGCAGTCGCGCTAACCACCTGATTAATCACAACCATTATCATCCATCCAATTCATCATTTAATTTGCAGCTCAAGACTTAAAAGAAAAGATAATCTTTGGCTGTGTCTGGAATGCAAAAATTTTATGCTTGGTTTTTACCTTGGAGAATATGGAGGGAATTCAAATTTGATTAAAACTCTTTGAAATTCACATGATATTTTTTAATTGTTAAAATCATTCGAATTTTCTTTCCTTCAAATTTCTTTTTCGAATTTTATTTCCATAGAATTTTGACCCAAAATGTAATAGAGACAGGGAGTGAAACCTTGCTGTTAGCATCAGCAGAAAACTTGTCAGCAACCACAACATCAGTAGGAAGCAACAGTGAGACTCCCTTAGACTTGGCCTTCTCAATGAGGGACGCGGCTAGGTCAAGCTTGTCCTCCTCCAGGAGTGAGGACCCAACTGTGTGTCCTTGAGCCTTGTAGAAAGTAAAGATCATCCCTCCACCCAGCAATAGCAGGTCCACCTTTTCCAACAGTGATTCAATTACAGCAATTTTGGTGGATACTTTTGATCCTCCAACAATTGCAGCAAATGGCTTCTTGGGTTTAGTCACAGCTCCAACTAAATAGTCAAGCTCCTGAGGTAGTAACAGAAGAAGATGGAGGGATTTCAGGGTAAGGCACTAAGGCAAAGTAATAATACCCTATATACAGTGAAAATTTACCAAAATACCCCATTGAAATGCCAACCTTCTGCATAAGGAATCCAGCAACAGCTGGTTTCAAGTACTTCGTAACTCCCTCTGTGGAAGCATGAGCTCTATGGGCTGTTCCAAAAGCATCATTAACATACAAATCCGCAAGGGATGCAAGATTTTTTGCAAACTCCGGATCGTTCTTCTCTTCCTCTTTGTAGAATCTCACATTCTCTAGAAGCAGCACACCACCCTCCGGGATTTGAGCAACCAATTTCTCTACTTCCTCGCCAATGCAATCGTTTGCCATGTTAACCTATCAGATAAGGAAAAGTAAAAAAGAAAAATATCTTCTTTAGTACTCCGTATCGTTTTGAAAGAAGTACGAAGGAGAATATGGCAGGCAGAGAAACTCAAAACAGACCTCAATGCCAAACAGTTCAGACAATCTGGGTACAAGAGGCTTCAAGCTGTACTTTGGTGTGACCCCTTTCGGACGACCCTAAAACAACAACTCAATCAATCAGATAAAATGAAGCAACCCACTCGTGTAAACTGAATCATAAGGCAACCTAATCGATAGAATCAATAGAAGTTGCAGGGAAAACCATGGCAAAAGCAGAAACTGGACTGACCAGATGACTGGAGAGAATCACTTTGGCACCATTAGTAATCAAGTGTTTGATGGTCGGCACGGCGGCTCTGATCCTAGTGTCATCCGTAATGTTCTGATTCTCATCGAGAGGGACATTCAAATCGGCGCGGAGAAAGACCTTCTTGCCCTCCAACTCAGCCGCGCCGAGGTCGCCGACGCTCTTCTTAGCCATGGAAATGACTCTTCCGGCTGGCTTGGCGGAAGCCCTGGGGGATCGGAGCTGGGTGGCGACGCGGCGCGAGAATAGCGAGTTCGCCGCGGCGAATCCAAGGCGGCGCGCTGGAGTCCGGAGGAAAATGGGGGCGCGCTTGGAAGAGGAGGCGGCGGCGGAGGAAGAGGCTGCAGGAATGGCGCAGAGATTGTAGGAAGCAGATGCTGCCATTGTTTGCGGGAGAGTGAAGAGTTTTTTGAATTGACAGAGAAGAAGAGAAATGGCGTGGACGGACAAACGAAGGAACGGGAAGATAAAATTGTGGATTAGCCAACAGCCACCATGATCATCCGCCCCTCTGAAAATCCTAAACGGATTACACAAGCCGAGTACAACCAATGTAAATTTTATATATATATATATATTGATATAAAATTTTGCTATGACATTTTTTATCAATGTAAACCCACATTTACATTGACACAAAATTTAAATATAAATCTTTAAGATACATTTTGGGATATAATCTTTGAGACTTTATTCTATAGAATAAATTGTCATTGGCTACACATTGATTATATATATATATTTATATATTTCACTTGTCTCAAAATATTTTACACTTTGCACAAAATGAGGTAGAATTCCAATTTTTTTAATCCATTTTATTTAGAGACTAGTAAAGACATAAAAAATAAAGCTTACATATTTAAAAATTACAAAATTACGTTAAAAGTTCTACTCCCTCCGTCCCATTTTATAATGCATGTTTCGGTTTACGATGTTTGACTGAAATTATTTTCAAATCATTTTATATGACAAATGGTATATAATTAAAAAAATAAAAGTTACATATTAAAATACTACGGAGTACATCAAAAGATTTACAAAACTAGTAGTGACAATAGTACTTTATTTTATCAAATTGCTAACGAAAATAGAGAAAGAAAGTGAATGAAGTTTGACCCTGTGAATATTAAACAAGCATTATAATTTGGGACGGATGGAGTACAATATAAGAGATGACAAAGATGTTTTATTTGATTGAACAATCAATCAAACACACACAAATTAGCAATAATTTTTGTGATTTTTGAATAGTGAATAATGTATTTTTTGGGATCATGAATTAGTTTTAGATTTTTTACAAAAAAGAAAAGATTCATAAAATGTACAAGAAGATTTATACTATTATACATGTGACTTTATGATCACGAAGGCACAACGATGTTGAATACTACCTCCATCCCTGCATATTTGTCTAGTGGAATACTCATCGAGTTTAAAAAAATGTGTTGAATACTACCTTCGTCCCATTTTGGCTAAATCTACTTGTTTATGTTAAATTGACAATTCTATTACCCTTAAAAAAACAAAAGATAAGTTAGATGCAAGCTAATTTTTGAGAAGATTTGGCCAAAATTAGATTGGACAAGTTGTCTATTTATCATAAAAAGAAAAGATTTAGCCAAAATTAGATTAGATTTCGCAACACCCTCTTCTTTATTGGACAATAAAGGCCAAAATATATACTCCGTACATGTGAATGGCACTACCTTGGTGGTTTGGGGAGGATTTTAGGATTAGGAAATAAAAGATCCACAAGAGCTACAGCTTACTATAGGATCTATGCTTAGGTGCAAGAAATAAGAGGAAAAAAGCATTATCAAGGACCAACTGTGTGAAAGAAACACAGGAAGCCAAATTGGCCATAACATTAATGGTCAATGCTGGTTTTAATTGAAGTTTATCAGCAATAATTGCTTGTAAATTGCAATAAAATCATTTTTTGACAGGATAGTAAACTATTCAGTACACAAAGCCAGAACATTATTCATTATCTCATTGTGCTTTCCCAGCACTCTTGGAAAAAAACAGAAAAAAATCAAGAGCTTTTGGGCACCATCTTTATAATGGACCAGGAAAGGTGCCATTCTCTCTCTGTTCATTCCATCTGTCTACCTGCAGCCAAAAACACAAACATTCAAGAACTCAAAATGAATCATCTATCTCACTTTGTCTAAGGTGCACTAATCTACAGAGCATAAGCATTCATGAAGCTTGTGTATCTAACACTATGCAAAAATGGAGTGTAATATTTTTCTAGATAGATTTAAAAAGAACCTAAGAAAACTAAGTCTAAGACAGTAGATCTTTAGCACCATGTTTGGTGGTTCGCAAATTACAGAAGAAATGAGAATGCTAAGAAAAGGAAATGCAAGTCAAAATCTTAAAAAATCTTACTCTTGTTTAGTTGGTAGGGAAATTGGTGAGAAAATTATTTTTCAATAAATTTTGGTTTGGTTATTGCAGAGTATACAAAAGAAGACATATGAAGGATGGGGGTGGGTGGGGGAGTGGGGGCAAGGGAAGATGAAGGATGATGAGGGTGGGTGGGGAGGACAAGGAAGAGGGAAGGAGAGGGAGAAATTTGTTGTTTTTTTATTACCATTTTCTTTTCTTCTCTTTTGAATTCCTAGAACCACACATAGTGTAGGAGTTTAATATTCCACACAAGTGAATTCTTTTGTACTCTGTGTGATACTTTCTTCTTTACAATTCTACGGAGTATTTAACGGTTTTCTCCCCACCCGATCAGGGCTTTCAAATGTAGCAACCAACTTCCTTCTCTACTGTTCAAATTGAGGTACGAGATAAAATAAAAATATCAACTTAAGAGCAAAACCAAGAAGGAAGCTTACCCATTCCCCAGGGCAAAGGGAACGATAATACTTTGCGAACTTGTCACACTCAGGTGCACCTTCACCCTTTGCAGCAATGCATCTGAAATACAAAACAAGTCAAAATCATTATATAAGCGCAACATAAGATTGATAAACAGGAACAGTACCAAACCCCTCAAACCAGCTTCAATTGTATGACTCACCGATGATATTCTACGTATCGAGTAAAACAATGTCTAGTCTGATTTGTAGTAGGAAACCGAAAATCTGCCGGGGCTGTCTCAAGCTGAGTGTCCGATTTCAAGACACATACAAAGGATTCAGCTTATTCAAACAAAAAATATAGTAAAATGCCATTATCCATCCAAACAAACAGAAAATAAGGTCACCTTAATCTCTGCCTTTGGGGTCTCATCAGCAGATTCTTGACTTTCTTCTAGACTGCCTGTGGTATCATCTTCAGCATTTGGACTGCTGCTATCTTCACCAACAACTTCTGTAGCAGGAGCAGGTACATCGCTCACAACTTGAGGAGGATCTGGTGATACACTGTTTTCTTCATCATCTGTTGGGGGTACTTCCACTGTTGATGCATCCTCGGGGGTCTTGGGAGCATCTTCTTCAACAGGCTTAACAGGTGTAGACACCTTCTCTTCTTTCTCTTTCAGTAAATATTGCTGTCATCAATAAACGCCATAAAACACTAAAATATCTGCAGAAAAAGAGTAAAAGCAAGAAAAAAACAAAACTTGCACTCTTTTCATTGTTGCATTGTCCAAGTGTGTGTGTGTAGCTTCACAAGAAATACATTACCAATTAACCTACCTAACTGAAAATGCATTGTCCAAGTGTGTGTGTAGCTTCACAAGAAATACATTACCAATTAACCTACCTAACTGAAAATGAATTCTTAGCTAAATTTCAAATGATTTTAGTAAGGCTATAACTATGCAATCTTATGCATTTTCTGGATCTTGGGTGCAGCTATAGCTCATAAAAACAGAAAATTTCTTATGAATGGGGCATCAATTCTGTGGAAGGGTAGAAGAAAACACTTAAACTATAACTAGAATCAACAAAAAGCCACTAGCTTTAAAGTTTCCATGTAGTGAAATTTATTGCTTATCATTCAGCTAGCTCAGATCATCATATAATTCCTATCGTTTTCAGTCAACTAATGTATCACAAAGCATTATACAAGCAATCGAACATAAATCTTGGAAAGGCATCCAAACATTCAGATTCAATACAATAGTCCAGAAAAAACCCCAAATTCCCAAAGAAAATTTCACGATTTAACAAAACGAAGACAGATTGATGAAATATAAATCGCCGTGAATCGGAGAATCTAGAGATGCAGAGCGCGGTAGAACCTCGGAGAGAGATGGGGGCTTCGCGCTGTCGACGTCCACCATTGCTTTTGACCAGAAGCTCACGGCGACTCAGAGAGAGAAGAGGAAGAGATTTAGGTTTTCACTGGAATTTCGACGCAGGTACAGAAGCCATTGAAGAACCTGAGGGAAGGCCGATCCTGGGATCGACACGTCACAGCATTCGATCGGGTTCGATCCGTGGGCCTAAACGAGTTAGGAAGAATATTAAGCATTTGGGCTGGGCCTGTTATAAATATTTACTCGCAGTTACATGGTTGTTGGGTCGAAAGCTCACTAACAAAACTCTCTTTCACTGTCTTACTCTGGCCTCTCTCTAGCGTTCTGTCTATCTTATCTATAGAAAAAGCAAACCTACTTTGTACACACCGGTCATCATTTCTTTCGAATTAAACGAACCTAGTTCAGCACGAAATCATGAATAAGCTCTACCAAGCATTTGGTACTGTAACAAAATGAACCAGAAGTAAGACCAAACTGAGAGTGAGCAGCATAACGTCACTCGTTTTCCTTTTTTAGTTCCTGCTCTTTCGACAGCTCCCGGTCCATTGATAAAATAAACTAACTACCCCCTTGGTCTCCAAATTTTCTAAGATTGAATGGAGATGCTCAGGGCCATAGTGAGTATAGTGAGTTTCGAGAATTCATTTTAAGATCTTTACATTAGAGGGTAAATTTCACAAATGGTAGCTTAACTTTAGCTGGAATTTCAAACTGGTACCTGAACTTCAAATCCTTTCACAAAAATTCCTGAACTTACACAATCCTTTCACTAATGAGCCATTAGCCCGTGGCATCAATTGACGGCGGTTTTCAGCGGGTCGGAGCGTTTTCCGGCTAAATCCGGCGAAATTGACGGCGGGCACCAACTCCAATGCGGTCGTGGCATCCGGGCGACCTCCAAGGACCCCTCAATTGCAAGATTTGATGAAGATTTGCAAAACCCCTAATTTTGGATCCAATTTCGAATTTTAGAGTTTTTTCGAGTAGAAAAATTCAGATTCGAGAAGTTACAGGCCAAATTAGACAAAATGGTTTGGATATTATAAGAAATCCTATTAAACATAAATTTTATATTGTATGCAAAATACAAATAAGAGTACAATTCTTACATGTTCGTCCATGAATATCATCTCAATCGAATTCGTCATCTTCTCATCATTATACACTGGCATCTTGTACAGTCGAATCACACGAACCAAAACTCTCCAGCATTCACTTGATGGATTGATCTTCAACAAAGGGTGGATCGGTTTGGAAGTCATGTCAATTAATCAGATGTTTTAGGTATGAACGTGGCTTACAATGAAAAAATAGATTGATAAAATGGCTTACTTAAAATTTGATTTATATATGACCTAATATAAATCGCAAGAAGGAAACCTACAGCAATAAGGGTAGAAAATCCAGAGATTTGAACCGGAAAATTCGAAAGAAGAACAAATTTCGCAGAGACTAATCATCATAAGAAGGAAAGAAAGCCAATCATTCCAAAAACAATTATGAATTTTTAAGAAAAGGGAAAATAACCTATTCTTAATTGGTACCGATCGTTGGAATCTCCGTGAAGAAGGACCGTGAAGAAGGAAAGAGATTAATTCCAATCACATATTCTCTGAAATCTCGCGGTGGAGCCATTCGAAGATGAATATCGCAGGGAGGTGCAATCGAAGGAAAGTGCCGCTGATGTCTCGCTTTCATTCAGACTTGCGGATGAATTCCACACAGAGTAGCCCAAATAAAAGAAGCCCAAAGTAATGAATCATTATCCAACTCGTTTGAAATATTGAGTAAGTCCAATATGATGACATGGCTTATGAAGTGTCAAAAAAATCCCCGTCAGCATGACAAATGTCAAAATTCTAGGAGTTAAACTCTCAAATATAATATATAAAGGATAGGATTGGAATAATAAATATGATAATAAGAAAACTATAATAATGTGAATTTAGACCTTATATATGTCTAACTTTAAAAAAATATTCAAGTTTTAGTTTTCATAATAATTGTATCAGGCAGTATACTGTTCTTAAAGGAATATGTAGAAGGAAACATTATGGTTCAATTGTTTGGTCCACGGGCGAAGTTTCTAAGAGCATTCACAATGGCAAGACAATGTCTTGCCTAGCCATGTCAGCAAATGTCACTCAAATAATGTCATTCCATGGTCATTCTACCTCACTTTTCGTTCCATGTGCAAGGCATGACTCCCTCATTTTTTATTTTTTTTAATATTCTTAATATTTTTAATTTTTGAGAAAAATATTTTTTAAAAGAAGTAGACATATTTTAATAATAAAATAAATGTGTAAAATAATTTTTGATAATAGAAAATCATTAAAAAGTACAAAAATAAATAAAAACAATTACTTGCCACAACACTCCACCCATTTGCCACACGGTGATTGAGTTATTTTTTATTGATTGAAATAGTCCATGTCATCGTGTGACATTTCATTTTTGCCTTGCCATTGCTAATGCTCTAAAGAACTCCATAAAAATACCCTAAAAATAAGTACTTTTACATGAATACTTCCTAAACTAAAATGGGGTTTTTAAACACTGTCATTAGTAAACCAGCAGACTAAACTAGAAAATTTCTTGTTACATATTTTAGTGATAATAGTTATATTTCAAAAATAAGATGTAGATAAATTTCGAAGTCCTTCAGTATTCTTGTAAATTTTAAATTTACAGATAATTATCCTTTTTTAAACACTACACAAAACACGATCTTGCACATCATATTTTTTATTTTCAACATGAGCTGGGTGCATGCGTAAGAGCACGCCTCTCCCCTTGATTTGGAGGATTGGTGACTCATTAGAATGATGAAAAATGCTCTCCCCTTGATTTGGAGGATTGATGACTCATTAGAAGGATGAAAAATGCTAGGTAACCCCAAATGGTTACTATGAGGAATACACATATACTAACATAGATGATAATCATCTGTGCAAAGAATGGTGCATTTCTAGTAACAACTATTTGGGGGTAACTTAGAAAAATATTGATTTGAGTGCATATGGAGATATAAAGATATTGTCATTTGTCAGGTCAAAGAAGCACTCTTATCCACCCAAGTTTACTTGAGACACCCTCATTACAAAGGGACCTCGTGTAAAAACCAACATCGAATGCATGTTCCAATAAAGCTCAACCACAAGTGTGATTTAGTCATGTAGATTGCAAGGTAGGGGGAATATTGCTTGTACATTATTAAGGGCAACCGCCGGCCACCGTGGTTGACATATGCTATAGCATCAAGAACTCTACACATCTGTCTGGGCAGTTTTGAGGGGCTATCAGGAGTAGAGTTCATTCGTTGAGAACTCTACACAAATGACATCCTCTACAATTGGTAAATTAATTTAAGGATGCATAGAAATTTGTACCTAACTCCCAACCAAGGAATACTGGTTAAAAGACTTCATACATCATATTGTGCAATAGTCACATTAGAAAGAAAAAAGGAAGATCGAGGAAGAGATAGTAAAAGCCTAGTTAAAAGGGAACCAACAGAGGACAAATTGAAGAAAAAAAATCTAGCAAAAACCCTGCAGCTATACTAGCTGATCGAGCTCGATCAATGTTGCTCTCCTTCTTCTTTCTTAGCGGGAGGAGCGTCTTTGATGTCATCACCTCCATCATCCTGCATCAAAAGCCAACACCAAAGCTTTGGATAAATCACAAACAATGCTACATCTAGTTTGCAATCACTTCATATACAAGAATCTTTTCTTCTGTTTCGTTTCTTCTTTTTTACCATAGTGAAAACAGTAATGTGGAGTTAACATTTGGTTGAAGTTAAAGAAGAAGACATTTTTAACTTCACTTTCAGACATCATTGCCTTTCATTCATTACTAAGCATTCTGTATATTTGGAATGGTGTTTTGAGATAATTTTACCAGTTCTGCCATGACTCCAGCAAATTTAGCTTTTTAACTATGGAAATCATATCAATTTGGGGTGGACAAGAGATTAACCTGCATGTCAGAAGTCCATAGAGTGAGGTTGTCACGAAGAAGTTGCATGATCAAGGTGCTATCTTTGTATGATTCCTCTCCCAGTGTGTCCAACTCCGCAATGGCTTCATCAAAGGCCTTGATGAACAGATGGGATCAAATCATAGCAGTGTCAAAAAAATATACCAACTCATACTGAAAAACTTCAAACCCAACGAAGAAAAGCAATCATATTTAGACATTCATTCTCACCTGTTTTGCAAGACTACATGCACGGTCCGGGGAGTTCAAAATCTCGTAGTAGAACACGGAGAAGTTCAGAGCCAGTCCGAGGCGTATCGGGTGCGTTGGTGCAAGCTCAGCACTTGCAATGTCCTAAGTTCAATAAGCAATCAATCGAATCATCACACTCTGATATAATTTGATGAATTGCAGTTCTGCAAATCTAGACCTCCATATGAATATATGATGTGATGCAGTACTAACTTTTCAGTTTTCACCAGAACTAAGTTGGGGACATTTCGGATATTTTTGACTGTATACAAGTTCATAAACAGCATCAATTTCGGAATTTCGTACTAGATTTTTAATCAAGTAAACATATCGAGATTCTTCAACTGATGAGCAGAGCAAAAACATCAAATTTACATGCTAATTGCAATGGATCTGCAGTTATACGCATTCTAGATACAGAATTCAAGTTCTAGCGTGCGAAATTAATGAAATGAAAAGGACTTCAAACAGAAAGAAGGATTGGAATTTGGGAGAATACCTGAGCGGATTTGTAGGCGGAGAGAGTGCTTTCAGCGGCGTCCTTACGTTCGGCGCCGGTCTTGAACTCGGCGAGGTAGCGGTGGTAGTCTCCCTTCATCTTGAGGTAGAAGACTTTGGAATCGCCGGCGGAGGCGGAGGGAATGAGGCTGGAATCAAGGAGGTGGAGAATTCCGTGGCAGATCCCGGCGAGCTCTCTCTCGATCTTAGATCTGTAGTCGCGGATTGAGTTGACATGGTCCTCGTTTCCCTTGGACGACTCCTTCTGCTCGATGGAGGAGATGATCCGCCAGGAAGCTCGGCGAGCGCCGATAACGTTTTTGTAGGCGACGGAGAGGAGGTTGCGCTCCTCCACTGTCAATTCCTCGGACTCAGCCAGGGAAGACGAAACCTTCTCCATGAACTCCACCATCTCATCGTACCTCTCTGCCTGCTCCGCCAGCTTCGCCATGTAAACGCTGTCTTCACGAGTCGCCGCCATGTCTGAAACCGCCGATTTCTCCCTCACAAAAAACATACTTCGTATGAATGGAAATCTGAGATGAGAGATTCGCAAGGATGCCAATGAGAGATTCACAAAGAAGAAACGATTTTTCCGATCAGAATGCAACGGAATGGAGAGAGTTTCGGCTATTTTGCCGGCTATTTGAAATGGTAACGATTAACGGTTATGGCGAATTGCCAGGAACTGCTTGGTTCGGTCGAATCGGACGGTCAGTTTGATCTAGGCCTGATGGTAGATTATTTTTTTTTGAACAAAAATGTTAGGGGTACATCATTTGGGGTACCTCATTTGTATCCCCTTCATCTCCACCACACAAAGCAAGAGAGGAAAAAAAAATTAAAAATAAAAAAATAAATGAATGGCTAGGATTAATGGTGTACAAAATGGGGTACCCCTAGCATTTCTCTTTTTTGAAAGGTAGATTTTTCCCAAATAGCTTCAATGCCCCTATTATTTGGAAAATTGGTACCGACTCCATCAGTTTTTAGAACTTATTTTAAAGTTTTCGTAGTTTCAAAACGTGGCACCCGTATCTTCAATTATCATTTTCTGTACGTTTTCCGCCGAAAAGGAGGCATTAGTGTCTATTTTCTAAATCAAATGGGTCACTCGTGCTAATTTCTTTTTTTGATTATTATTTGGTTTTTTCTTTTTTAACTCTTTTTTATCCATTTTTTCTTTTTCCTAAAAAAGTTTTTTGCATTTCTTTTCAATTTTTATAATGCTTTAAAAATTCAAAAATCTGTATTTGAAATAAAAATAAAAATAAATAACATATGCATGATCTATCTCAAAAGAAACATTTTCACAACTTGTTTTCTAAAATATTTTTTTTGGTGAGTTCAAAAATAAAATTCAAATAAAAAATAAAAATATGGAAAACGCGCGAGACGAAAAAAATGAAACGTGCAAACAAATTCTTATATAAAAAGAAATTTTCAGAACGCCTAAAATATCTTTAGAATTCAGATGTCTAAAAAAGATATTCATTTTTTTGATTTGTTTTATTTTATTTTTTATGACAAAAAAAGTTATTACTTTTTTATTTTAGAAAAAAATAAAAATAACAGTTGTTAATTTGAGACGTATAGATGCAATATACTCATATGTTCTTTTTTTCAAACAAAAACAATTTTTATATTTTAAGAACATTATCAAAAAATTGAAAAGAAATTTACAGAAACTTGATTAATAAAAGAAAAAATAAAGTAGAAAAAGATAAAAACAAAAAATTATCAAAAGATAAGAAAATCTGCATTGCCCCACTGCCCCCCATAGTTTGAAAAATAGGCAACAATGCCCCTTTATTCACTAGTGTAGCTTGGGTGCATAGCAATAATTAGGGCTGTAAACGGATAGCCGAAAATCCGATTACCGTCCGCATCCGCATCCGTTTAAATAGGAAATATCCGCATCCGTTTTAAACGGATATTATCCGTATCCGATTAAGGATATTCGATTACTAAACGGATACGGATTTGGTAATTGTATATTCGATCCATTTAAAATCCGATCCGAATATGCATCCGTTTAAATAACCGTTTATCCGAATATCTGATCCGTTATATATAGTTTTTCCTAATTTTTATGTTTATATTTTGTTTCTCTATTGATATTTCAAAATATAAGACATTTTTAAATACAAAATAAATGTGTGCACATAAAAATATATACAAACATATAAAAATATGTGTATATATGTGCTGTGTATTTCTTTTTATCATATGAAGTTATCGTAGAATATGAGAAATCATGAAAACAAAGAAAATAACTATCTCATAACAAATTATAGTTGATTTAATAATAATTTGACTTTAATCTAATTTAAAAATAAAATATTTTTTAATTTGATTTTAAAAATTGGAAACGGATAAGGATATATCTGATATCCGACCGATATCCGACGGATGCGGATACGGTTTTGATTTTTAGTATCCGTCAAGATCCGTATCCGAATTCGATATCCGTTAAAAATAAACGGATGCGGATTTGGTAATGGCACATCCGATTCGATTAATATCCGTTTACACCCCTACATAGCATTATTATAGAACTACTCCCATAAAAGATGTTTTTTTTGTTTTTTTTTGTTTTTTAAAAAATAATTGTTTATCTAAGTAGTAAAAGAAATTTTTAGTTTGTTCATATGTAGATCCACCATAGCATTTGCGGACAATCAAATTCTTGTTTGGTTTTGAAGTCATGTTTATTTTATAGACTTTAATACATTGATATTATAAAATAATTAAGTCTTTAATTAAATACTCCCTCTATCCATTAATTTCTTTCTCACTTTCCTTTTTGAGCTGTCCAAAATTTTTTTCTGTTTCTTATTTTGCTAAAAAAAACTTTTAAAAAATGTGCCAATATAACCCTACTTTTTTGTACATTATTTATTTTATTCTATCACATCAAGGGCAACACATAAAAATTGTTTACATTTTTTAATTTCTCTTAATCTATGTACCAAGTCAAACTAAAAAAGAAATTTTTGGATGAAGGGAGTATCTACTTATGAGTTCATAAAAGGTGTGAAAATATTCACATTTTACATGTTGGTCTTAACACCATAGAAGAACAACTAGTGATGGTAAGTCCTTACTCAGTCAAAAATTTTAAAAATCGTATAAAATTGAAGTAAAATATAGTTATTTTTTTCATAAGAAGAATGATGTGTTATTATAATAAAATAAAACTATTACATTGTCCACAGTGTATAGTGATATCTTACAATATTTTTAAATATTTTATGTTGGCTTTAAATATCTTTTGAGAATAAAAAAATAAATTAAGATTTTATTTATTTTAATTCTTTCGCTATATTTTAACCGTATTTAGTCTTTCTATCCAAAGATTCCAATTACAATATGCTTCCTATGCCATGTATTAATTGTCTCACATCCTTATTTAAGACTTTTTTTAAAAAAAATAATATAGTCATGTTAGGTATTGTTTTTTAATAGATTTAATATATTTTTATTATACAAATTCTAATTTGCAAGTTTTCTAAAACTATTTAAATAAAAGGAATCGGAAAAAAATTATGTCACATATCGTAATCCGCAATAAAAATAATTTGGGATGATGAGAATATTATTTAGATTGTTTTTTTATACTCAACATGTCTCACTTTTCTGATCGTATTTGAATTGTGTGGTTCATATTTTTTACTTTATCTTATTTTTATATTAATATGAATTATATAATCTTAAGTTTGGTGTCAGTTCATCAACAACATTCATTATAAAAATCTATAAAAGTAGAATTTAGTTTGTGTGTAAATATTACGAAACATGTAATTTTCAATCAGACAATTTCATTGTATAAAAAAAAAATTTGTAATGGTGAATCTCCGGTCAACAGTGGTCCATGCCATCAACCGGCAGAGGCAACACTCTGTCGGCAACGCACTCAGTGTGGTGCCACTCCGGTTCGTAACACTCGTAATGCAAACTCTCTATTTGTGTAACAGAAAATATTATATTTCTATTATAATGGACTATTTTCAATATCATTACTTCTATTTGGATAAAGTTTGACGAAAGGAAGAAAGATACGCTTTATGGGTAACCCGATGAATAATTTGCTATAATAGGAAAAGTGGTGTGATAATTTATGGGCTACGTAACAGTGACCTTTATCAATTAAACATGTTCTACGACTTCTAACCCATCCAATACTTTCATTGGGGACAATGATAGTTTTCAAATTTCTGGCCCTCTATTATTTGTTTCTCCAAATAAAATTAAAAATAAAAAAGCAAAGAAGAAGACCAGAGCTTGTAAAATCCTAAATTATATAATCCCTCTGTCCACAAATAAACTTTACGTTTACTATTCACAGGGTCAAACTTTATACACTTTGTTGGCTTATTTTCGCCACCGATTTGATAAAATAATATAGTCATGCCACATCTAGTTTTGTAGATATTTTGATATAGTTTTTTAATATGTAGTTTTTATTTTTCAATTCTACACCATTTTTCATATAAAATGATTTAAAAATAACTTCAGTCAAACATCGTAACGCGTAACGTAAAGTTTATTTGTGGACGGAAGGAGTAGTTTTTTTTGACGGCTAAATTATATAGTTAAATGATATCATTAAATAGTTTTATGCAAGATAAAAAATCAAAGTAAAATCATTTCAGAATATCACCCAAATTAAAATACGAGCAAGATCATAACTCTTATCTCTAAATAAAATATGATGACATACGTGTTTTTATTCCAGAATAAAAAATCAAAGTAAAATCATTTCAGAATATCACCCAATATTTTATAGGTATTACTTTATTTGTTGGGGCATATATTTGTAAATAGCCGGTGGTCATTCCAATCATTTGAAAAGTTCTGCGTTGGCTTCACTATTGTGCAATTATATTGTTGATCAAATGGTTGCCGTATACTCCTTACATGGCCAATGGTATGCTTTTACACTCTTTTCTGTATCGGTTATCAGTTATGGGTTGATTGATAGCGGAGCTTCTCATCATCATCACATGACTGGGACTCCATCTTGTCTTATCAACTCTTATAATTACAGTCTTTTCTTTGATGATCCATTTTGTGTGATACAGGACCGAAATACGAAGACCCGAATTGGTCAACACAAAACATGCAACAGAGTCTATGTTTTTATCTCAAGTCCATGTGTCTAAAGTCGAGTCTATCTCTTTGTTGCATCAATACCTTGGTCATCATTCTCTTCAAGTATTATCTTTACTTCCTTTCAATAAAAGTAGTATAGAGATTAAAATTAACGGTTCTTACTCATTTCACCTCTCGATAAAGCCTCCCACCCCGCTCTCACCTGAACTCACCCCTTCAATTGCACCCCCAAATTTACATGTCTTTGAAATCAACATTTTGACTCTAAAGTCATTTGTGCACCTCACCAAATGAATAAAATGATGCTAAATAATTAAAAAGTAAACATTTGAATACACAAATAGAAATTAACGAATAATTAAATTCGAATACGCGCCTGGTATTTATTATTCGCACCAAAAAAAGTAAAGAATTTCTTTTTCAAGAAAAAAAAAGAGGAGAGAGTTTTTTTTTTGTTCACACATTTCCACTTTAATGCTAATCGCCTAATCCATTAAGATTGGAAGTCTAGAAAGTCTAAACGAAGACATATATAGAAATTCCCTTGAGTCTTGACTACTCTCTCATATCAATTCTGAATGGACTTTTTGACGTTATTCAATTTAATATCTGAGTGAAATTTTTTGTTTGAGTGAGAAAAAGAAAAATGAATTTAAAAAATGAAAAGAAAGAAAAGAGGTATATATATAATTTGTTTTTCCTTTTTTGTACATGTAAAAATTAAATCTTTAGCATATGGAGTATTAAATTTTACTTTCATATACAGGTTCACAAAAAATTACAACTTTTTAATGATATTTACTCATCTCATTTCATTAATTTTCTTTTTAAAATTTTTAAATTTGAAATTCTAATTTTTTTTTTAAATTTTTTAACTTTTATTTTTATTTTTTACATATAATGTTAAATATTTTTCAAGAAAAAGTGATAAATAAAATTAATTTTTTTAGCAGTGAAGTCCAAAAGCTACTCTCTTGGATTTTCTGATTTTGGCTCTTCGAAAACAACTAAGTGAAAAAACCATTAGCCAAATAATAGTTTTGGCTATTCGGTTAGTCAAAAAACCAAAGCCAGTCACAGACGCCAAAAGCTATCTGAAAAGTTTTTTCTTAACACTATTATAGGGATTTATACAATGAGATCATATTTGAAACAGTTTTAAATATAATTACAATCACATAAGATTAGCACAGATCATATCTAGTTTGATCAAACCTTATCAGATTAGATCCAACCATATTAGATCAGACCAAATTTTCTAAAAATTAGATTAAATCAGATCATACGAACGGAATGCAACCTAAGTATTTATATTATATATAGTGCATAAATATTTTTTATCGAAACATTATATTTTAAAATTACATTTCAAGATAGACCATACGATATTTCTTTTGTATTGTAAGTCAAATTATTTTGATGAATTTTACGGTAAAAGACTATAAATTTTATTTAAAAAGTCAAAATGAACCCTCTTTTTGAGATAGATGGAGTATCTGAAAATAATTTTATTGATAAAAATTTGAGTGAACGTTACTCCATATTTCGCAAATAATTTTCTAATTTTTTTAAAAAAAAACTCTTCAAAAGGGTCTTATTTACTTTTAAAGAAATTTGACCATGATAAATCGAAGGAAAATTTAAGAAAAAGAGTGTGAAAAGAATGTAAAATGATAAAATTTGGGATGAGAATGGACAATTGGGCTAAACACGATTGTCCATGCCCATGATAGAATTTAGGATGGGCATGGACAACTGGATTGGGTAATAAGACACTTGGGTTGAACCACATTAAAAGATTGAATCTAATCTATTAGTTCAACTCAAGGGCTTATATACCAAGTTATTTTTCTCTTCAAGTTCCGATGTGGGATACTCTTAACATAAAATAATTTAACCGCATGAATAATAAAATGAAAATGTATTTGAAAAAAGCATCGCATGCTACGGAATCTTGTTGCAACTCAAGGGAGAAGATTAGATGACGAATAGTGTTCTTTACACTATGTCGGTTGTAAAAGAAGAAGAAAAATTATACACCGCCCTTTATTACTTTTTGAAAGGATATTGTCGCAGCATGGGTAATTAAGTAACTTAACTCGTCGAATGAAAGGATCTCAAATTCATTGATCCTAAGATGAAATATAGCTATAATGTAAAAGTTCTATTAGTTATAATAGTTCTTTGTGCGTATCGGATACGTGGTGATGTCTCTAAAGACTACATTAAAATTCATATCATATTTTGCCCCGTCACAATCTTGTCAGACTGGAATGTGAGGGTGTCTGGGTGGACGTTCCACCTTTTGAAAGGATATTGTCAAGTTTTATCTTTTTGATACCACTTCCCCCGTTAAAGAAAATACAAGTATATTTTATAGTCAGATTTTATTGTTTTTTAGCTTAAAAAATGTTGTCAAATAAAAATGCATGATTAAAATTTGTCGTTACAATTCGGATATATGATGACATGCATACGTATGAAGAAATCGATGAAGAAATGAAATAAAGAAACCGTCAAGACATTCGAAGCCATGAGTTTCACAATGCACTGACGCTGGATTTGATTGAATATATTTTTAGTCGTCAAATAATCAGTAATTTCTTCGCAATGTAATGTCATTTTTAATTTTTTATTTAATTATGTTGTTACTATTCAAATCTTATTTTATTGAATATAATTTTTTTACCTAATGAATCATTGTTGTTTAAATTAAATTAATTAATGAAATTCTATTAATTTAATTTTACAAAATATGTATTCAAAATGTAAAAGATAAAGGTTTGAAGTCCTAGTTTGAAGCCCTGGGACTTCAAACCCATTTCCAGTGAAACTGTGAGTTAAATTAAAATTCATGTGGCAGAGAGAAAAACTTTGAAGTCCATGTGCTTCATAGGTACTTTCAAGTGCGGCATATTCTTTCGTGAACCTAAGGTTAATGGTCATTTTATGAACCTTAGTGTATTTAGAGCATAAAAGAAACGAGTCTATAGAAAATAAAGAATATCTACATGTAACTCCATGAAAAATATGAGAAACTTTACATTTTAAATGCAGACTTTGAGATTATGTAAGTATCATTTTCCGGAGTAGTAGTTAAGACGATTATGTGCATATGCAGTTTATGCACATAACTAACGGCAGACATATCTCTTTCATAATGTTTTTATTTGACAAAAAAGTTAGTAATATGAAGTCATCTTTTCTTCAAATAAAAAATAGAAAATGCAATTTACTCATCACTGAATATATGTCAAGCTTTGGTATTTCATCCGAGGTACGTATGACATACGGCCCCCCCCCATTTGATAAAACTAATACTGAAGTACGTGCACAAAACAATAAAATGTGACTTTCTTCGTTCTAAAATAAACTTAATAATTTGATTCTACTATCTTCAATGAAATAGTTCAATCGTTAAAATGGAGTTTTTTTTATAAACATGGAGTATATATGATTGTGTACGAAAAAATTTCTTCGTATATAAACTTGATATGATAAAAGACTAAATTAAATAATGAATCCAATAACATCAAAGTTAATTTATAATTCAATATGTTTTATATACTCCCTTCGCTCCCTCCCACAAAGAATTATATTCTTCAATATTCAAAAGACAGAGAAACTTTTATTTATTTGTATGTTTTGATTGATTATTTGAAAAAATAAAATTAAATATTTTTATTAATCTTATTTTGTAAAACTTTTGATAGATATAGTTTTTGAATGTGTAAATTTTATACTCCATATTAAATTTATAATTTTGTATACTAATCTTTAAATAAAATGAATTCAAAAACTCAAAACTTTACTTTATTTTGCATAAAGTGTAAAATATTTTGGGACAGAAGGAATATTAATTATGATAAGAAATTTGTAAATTTTTTAGTATTATTAACTCTATTAGTGTGAGGTTTTATTTTGGACATTAAGGTCGTGTTCTGTTCAACATATTTATTCAATTTATTATTTATTCTTATTAAAATCGAATAAGACCAATTAGATCAGATCAGGTTAAAAATAATTTTTGTTATAACTATAATTAAATAAAATCAGACATATCAGATCTTCTAAAAATCAAATCAGATCAGATGAACTGTCAAGGAACCAACTCAACCAAAAGCTCAAGCTTGTGGTTGTGGCCCAGGAATAATTGTTATATACTCTAATACGCCCCCTCACGTGCAGGCGTGACCTCTTTGAGCGTTGCACGTGAAATCTTAATTTTTTTAAAAAATTGGGTGGCGGCGAGTTTTGAACTCGTGTTCTCTTGGTCATCGGGCTCCGATACCATGTCAAGGAACCAACTCAACCAAAAGTTCAAGCTTGTGGTTGTGGCCCAGGAATAATTGTTATATACTCTAACATGAACGCAACCTAGCCTAACCCATAAATAAAGAGGTGCCTAGGGTCGAATCGCGACAGCCATGGGTGGCCCGGAGGGTGTGCAAAGTGGCCAACTGCACAGGGCCCCTAAAATTTTAGGGCCCCATATTTTTAAATTCGGCACTAATTTTAAAGCATAAGCGTTCTACAAAAATAAAATAGGGCTCAAAATGTAAATTTTGGACTGGGCCAATTTTATTTTTTGATTTTTCGGGACCGGCCCTGGCGACAGCGGTAGTATGTGAATTCTATTATTTGTAGTACTTCCTTTGGTCCTTGTGCGCACTGGGCACAAGACTACCTCTCTAAAGACCCGATTGAAATTATATAATGATTTACCTTCCTCACAATTCTTCTGATGTTAGTGTGGGAGCTAGGGGTGTATACGAATCGAATCGAAGCAAATATATCACTATTCGATTCGTATTCGATTAAAGTGATATGTATTCGAATTCGGATTCGTATATAATTCGAATTTTAAAAAACATTTGTATTCGATTCGATAGATATTTGACGTATTTGAATTCGTATTCGAATATTCGAATTCGAAAATATTACTAATTTTTTTCTTGAAATAGATTTGTTAAAGACATTAAATTATTATTTTATAATAATGTAAAATGTAGTAAAAATATGTTAGAATATATATAAATTTATTTATAAATTATAATATTCAAATTTATATAAATTTATATGTACACAAAAATTTAATATATTAAAATATGTACACAAATATTTAATATATTAGAATATATATAAATTTATTTATAAATTATAATATTCGAATAATTCGAATAATAAACGAATCGAATCTATTAGTATTTGTATTCGAATTCGAATATAATTCGAATCTAAAATATGATTTGTATTCGGATTCGAATTCGAATATATCGAATACGAATCATCCTTTTCGAATACGAATCACGAATCGAATACATTTTATTTGATTTGTATGCGCCCCTAGACTAAGAGCGCCCCGGGTGGGCGTTCCACCATAAATAAACATGCACCAACCAACCGAGTAGGTGAAGTGGCTATAAATATGGAACCATACCTATAGGTTATAAACCATTTCCATTGTCCCCTCAGTTCTCAAAGGGCCTATTCCAAAGCAATAAATATTTCAAATCTTTATTTGATTCTCTCCTTTTCAAAAAGAAAAGCTAGGAAAAATGGGTTCAATTAGACCCCATGCAGTTTGCATCCCATACCCTGCACAGGGCCACATTAACCCCATGCTACAACTGGCCAAGATCCTCCACCACCACGGCTTCCACATCACCTTCGTCAACACCGAGTTCAACCACCGCCGCCTCCTCCGCTCTCGCGGCCCGGACTCCCTCCGCGGGCTCCCGTCGTTCCGGTTCGAAACCATCCCCGACGGGCTGCCCCCGACGGAGTCCGACGCCACCCAGGACGTGCCCTCCCTTTGCGCGTCCACGACCACGACCTGCTTGGGCCCCTTCAGGGAACTCCTCGCCAGGCTTAATCGAAACAGCGACGCGCCGCCGGTTTCCTGCGTCGTCTCCGACGGCGTGATGAGCTTCACCCTCGCGGCGGCGGAGGAAATCGGCGTCCCGGATGTGTTCTTCTGGACCACCAGCGTGGGTGGCTTCTTGGGGTACATGCAGTACCCGGAACTCATCCGCAGGGGATACGTCCCTCTCAAGGGTATTTATGTCTTTTTATCGACTTCTCCATGTCAATCCTTTTCTAAGCAGCCATTTTTGGATTTATTGCGACTTATCGATCTCTAATGTTTTGCCATTTTTGGATTTTAAAGTCATTTTGATTTCTCCAACCCTTAGATCTATTCCACTTTTTTTTTGTCCAATTTGGGTTTTTAATACAACTTCAATTCTATCTTCGATTAAATATCATATCCTTTGTTCAAAAAAAAATCATATCCTTTCTCGTCATCACAAAATAGGCTACTCTTTTTTATTTTTGATTTTTTTGTAGCTCATATTCTTTCTTTATCATCTAATTTTCAGCCATATAATTTAATTTTTCCTTAAACTCCACAATGAAATTATTTTTAGTTAAATTTAACTAAATATTATTATAAAATTTAAAAATAAATACACCATCTGTCCCGATTTAATCTCATTTCTTTTTTTCACCATTATATTCTCATTTATATTTCTTGTATACATGTATTGGTGAAATTTGACCTTTTCAAGTTAATTAGAACGAAGAAACTTTAAGTTTCAATTACTCCCAATTGATATTGCACATTAGTATAATAGAATAAAATTTAAAATTCTCAACAAGATAAATCTAATAAAATCATTTTTATATATTCACAATTTTAAATGTAACACTTTGCTTATTAATATCTCTGATTTTATGTATTTATAGATTATAAAAATATGATATTTCAAAACTATGTGCTGAAATCAACATATTGATATGAAATATATACTCCGTATATGATAACACATTATATTTTTTTTACCATAACTCATAGTCAAAGTTCAAAAAAATTGCCCCCAAAAAAATCAAAACCCACAAAAAAATTAATTTCGTCCGAGAATATTTGTTCAGTTTTGATCCAGTCAACTATTTTTTATATTTGACCTATGATTAGATAAAATAATAAATCTAATAAAACGACTTTTGTATCAATATCTAGTATAATTTTTATTTAATTTGAAATTAAACTTTAGTAATTTTAACCGGTAAAAGTTAAGAATAGACGAGCAGTAGGCAAGAAATATTCGCACTAAATAGCAATAAAACTTAAATCATTTCCCTAAATAATACTTAAACTGCTTTATTTTCTAAATAGTATCTAATAATATGCATAATGTCCAAAAATTTGCTTGAATAATGATTAATGCATAATGACAAAAAGTGCTACATTGGAATGAAAAACACATGTGATTCTATTTAGAGAAAGTCATTATGTTTTAATGTTATTTAAATTACAATACAAACGAGTACGGGGACATAGAGTAGTAATTAAAAGATGATGTGACGAGAAAAAAGGGAAAAAGTCAACCACCAAAACTAAATGCTGTAACTGCATGCAGATGAGAGCTGCCTGACAAATGGGTATCTCGAGACGGAGCTGGACTGGATAAAGGGCATGAAAGACATTCGCCTGAGGGAGCTCCCCACCTTCTTTAGGACCACAGACCCAGACGATATCATGCTGAACTTCGTCCTCCAAGAAACTGGGAGGGCCAGGAAGTGCTCCGCCATCCTCTTCAACACCTTCGACGATTTGGAAGGCGAAGCTCTCGCCGCCCTCCAGCCCGGGCTCCCGCCCCTCTACGCCGTCGGCCCCTTGCACCTCATCCAGGAGAAGGTGGTCGCGGACGGCGGCGTCAGGTCCCTGGCGTCGAACCTCTGGAAGGAGGACGGCGCCTGCCTCGACTGGCTCGGCGCCTTCGCGCCAGGCTCCGTCGTCTACGTCAACTTCGGGAGCATCGCGGTGATGACCCCGGCCCAGCTCTCGGAGTTCGCGTGGGGCCTGGCGAACTCCGGGAGGCCGTTCCTGTGGGTGCTCCGCCCCGACGTCGTGGCGGGGGAGTCCGCGGCGCTCCCGCCGGAGATTGTGGAGGAGACGAGGGGCCGGGGGATGATCTCCGGGTGGTGCCCGCAGGACAGGGTCCTGGCCCACCCGGCGGTCGGGGGGTTCCTGACCCACTCCGGGTGGAACTCGACCCTCGAGAGCATATGCAACGGCGTGCCGATGCTGTGCTGGCCGTTCTTCGCGGAGCAGACGACGAATAGCCGGCTCTCGTGCGCCGAGTGGGGGGTCGGGATGGAGATCGACGGGGACGTGAGGAGGGAGGTGGTGGAGGGGCTGGTGAGGGAGCTGATGGAGGGGGAGAAGGGGAAGGAGATGAAGAGGAAAGCCATGGAATGGAAGAAGCTGGCTCAAGAAGCTGCGACTGTTCCCACGGGCTCATCCGCCATTAATATACAAAAGCTCATCAATCACCACCTCTCATCTCCTCCAAAACAGCTTTAATTCAGACGGGGTAATATTTTATTTTATTTACTCAAATTTGATTCCATTTCTATTCAATAAAATTTAATTTGCCTCACCAGTTCGGTAATAAAGTACTATTATGTCCCATTTGGTACATGAAATTCAAACTATAGAATTGGAATTGAGAACTTCAATTCCAGTTCTAGTGTTTGGTAGCACAAAAATTATGTGGATTTGGAATTGAAAATGAATTAAAATTGACAGAATTCAATTCTATGGAATTGAATCTCATGGAATTTTAATTCCAATTCAATTCGAATTCCACCAATTCCTTATACCAAACGGACCCTTAATGGAATCTTGTATGTATTATGGGGAGTATACAAAGATATCATTAATGTTTAAGGCAATGAGTTTTTTTTTGTTTTCTGTGTGTCGTCCCAAACTCTTCATACAATGCACAGGACGGTTCCCATCATCGTAAAACATCACACAAGATATTAGTACATACCTTCGAGGTGCAAAGTAGGGTACAATTTTTGGTATACAAATATAATTTCTCTATCGCGAATGCCATGACATGACACGGGAACCTACACTAATCCATTCAAAAAATTAATGATTCATGCCTTCTAGACCCTCGATAAACTCTCATCTTAGTCCGAACCGAATCTGACCTCATACCCTTCAATTGCACCACCAAATTTGGTTGGCTTTCGAGTCAAAACTTGACTCCAAAGGTAACCAATCTATGTCAAAAGAAGCACATAGTTTGACTTGACACAAAATTTAAAAAAGTAAAAGAGTGAGGTTAATTTAGAGTGATGTTGAAGAGAGAGAAAAATTGTGAGTCACTCAAAATTTTTCATAAAATGAAAGACGATATTTTTTAAGGGACATCCTAAAACGGAAATAAATAGTCTTTTTTTGAAACTGAGGGAGTATGCTCCTATCCAAACTATGTTCGTATCCAAACTATCAAAAGTGCACTATTAGTTTTTACTCTTGTCGGTCTATGTCCACGCACTATTGTGGTCTTACTATCCACAAAAATGACTATTTGTTTTTTTATAAGACCCAATACATATAACTATTGAGGGCTTGTTTAAGAATATCGTTAGAGATTAGGGATAGCGTTTTGGATAAAATTTTAACGGTGCAAATTACTTTGCAAATTACTAAGAAAAAAATCATGTATATTTTTGAAATAAAACTAATGGAGTATATATTTAAAGACAACGAGTATTAGCACGAGATGTAATTTTCTTCAAAATAAGGTTATCGACCAATACTCAATCAAGCACAAATTATATTTTATTTTTCCTTGCATGTATTTATTCGTCATTTGATAAAATACAAGTTAAGACATTTTTTATTTTGTATCCCTCCATTCCAATGTAAAGTTCTCGTTTCGAATTACAAGATTTGATTGAAAATATTTTCAATTCAATTTATATGAAAATTGCGGCGGAGTTTACAAAAAAATCCATATTTAAAAAAGTAAAAGACTAAATTAAAAGTAAAACATACAAAATGCATCAAAATGTGAGTTATAATGCAAATACATTACTTATCATGTCAATATATTATACCAAAAATATTCATATATAGTGTTATATTATGAGAAATTTACTTAAAAAGCACTAAAATATAATGACTTTCTCTAATTAGCACCACATGTGTTTTTCTTCCCAATGTAGCACTTTTAGTCATTATGCATTAGTCATTATTCAAGCAAATATTCGTCATCACTCGACATTATGGACATTATTAAGTGTTATTTAAGGAATAGAACTATTTAAGTACTATTTAGAGAAATGACTTAAGTTTTAGTGTTATTTAATGCAAATATTTCTTATATTATTATAATACAAACTCTTATTTTGGAGATAAATACATGAAGCTCATATTTGATACCTTTTTTTATGTTTTACTCTAATTTATTATGATTTTTTTAATATAAAAACTATATACAAATTCTTCAAAATAAGTAGTGATATAAATATTTCATTTTATCATATGACTAACAAAAATAGTTAAAGAAAATTAATAAAATTTGACTAATTAAATACTTCCTCCGTTCATAAGGATATAGACATATTGATTAAAGTGATAAAATAAGTGAGAGATAATTTTGTATTGATTTTCTAAAAATACCCTTAATGTGATGGATAAAAGTAAGATGTGATGTGTAGATTGTTACTCCCTCCGTCCACAAATAAATTTCTCGTATGAAAAGGTATGATGTGATAAATAATGTATGAAAAAAAAGTGGCAAAAGTAGTTTTTTAATAAAACTAAAATTGACTTTTGAGGACACAGTTTTTTTGAACATAAAAGACTTTATGGAAGGGAGAGAGTAGTAAACATTCACTTGATCTAAGACCAAGTGAGTAGAAGCCTTGATTTAGTTATCAAATAGACAAACTATGTTTTTTTAATGAAAAATGCTAGGGGTACACTAAAAGTGTGCCCCATTTTTCCCCACCTCCTTCATTACCACACAAAAAGGCAAGTGAAGTTCAAAAAAAATTAAAATTAAAAATAAAATAAAATGAATGGTAAATAATGGAGTGATGTACATTTGGAGTACAGCTTTGGTGTACCCCTAGCTAGGGATGCATACAAATCAAATAAAATGTATTCGATTCGTGATTCGTATTCGAAAAAGATGATTCGTATTCGCTATATTTGAATTCGAATCCGAATACAAATCATATTTTAGATTCGAATAATTTTCGAATTCGAATACAAATATTAATAGATTCGATTCGTTTATTATTGAAATTATTCGAATATTATAATTTATAAATAAATTTATATATATTCTAATATATTAAATATTTGTGTACACATAAATTTATATATATTCGAATATTATAATTTATAAATAAATTTATATATATTCTAACATATTTTTACTACATTTTAATTTTTACTACATTTTACATTATTATAAAATAATAATTTAATGTCTTTAAGAAAATTGTTTCAAGAAAAAATTACCAATATTTTCGAATACGAATTCAAATATGTCAAATATCTATTGAATCGAATACAGATGTTTTTTAAAATTTGAATTATATACGAATCCGAATTCGAATACATATTACTTTAATCGAATACGAATCGAATAGTGATATATTTGCTTCGATTCGATTCGTATACACCCCTGCCCCTAGCATCTCCCAATAGACAAATTATGTTTTTTTAATGAAAAATGCTAGGGGTACACCAATTTTCCCCCCACCTCCCCCCATTACCACATAAATAGGCAAAAATTTCAAAAAAATTAAATAAATAAAAAGTAGATAAAAATAGGTAGTGGAGAAGGGGTGGAGGACAAATGGGATACACCTTTGGTGTACCTCTAGCGTTGCTTTTTTTAATCTAATACTCCCTCCGTCCCAATTTATTTGCAATACTTCGAACGACGTGCAAAATATCATCTCTTTTAAAATCACTTTAATTTCAAATTGTTAGAGTAATAAAAAGTAAAAATTACACCATTCAAAAGTATATGAAAAGTTCTACAAAACGAGATGCGACAAGAATATTTTATTTTATCAAATGGTCAACCAAAACGAGTAAACAAACAAAATTATCGAGAGGTCAGAATAGTAACTGTGGCATTTTTTCTGGGACGGAGGGAGTACCAAAATTTAAATAAATAGAATTGAAAATTTAATTTTAAAATAAAAATAACATTAAGGCGTCTTTCGTTAGAGTTTTGGAAGATTAATATGATGATCGATGAAATCTCGTCCGTGGAATTCCCCAGATGAGGTCGCTCCACTAGAATCTGCAGATTCCGTTCTTCATCTCCGCCGCTACACCGCTTCAGAATGGTCTCGCCAATCAGATGGGTGGCTCCGCCTCCACCTCCAACTGGCCACTGCCACCATACAATTGCATAATGTAACGATATGAAACTGCAGATCTGACCAATTTCAATCCAATTCTGTCTGTGGCCAGTTCAAATTTAAATCGCATCGACGAATTGAAATTGTTCGTGGCGCCATACGACTGATGTTTTATCTGCCCAATTCCGCCATAAAACGAACTGAGATTGCAGATCTAGCTGACCATCGCCTCACCCTGATGAGAGGTTAGGCCCTTTTTTTTTAGCAATATTTAATACTCCTTCCGTTCCAAAAAGAATGTCACACTTACTATTTCGGCATTTTTATAAGTTCTTGTTTTACCCGTTTTGGTGGATTATTTTATAAAATAAAATATTCTTATCGGGTGGTAGTTTATTTTTCCCAAATTCTATACTTTTTCAGATGATAATTATAATATTTAAACTTCTTAAAAAATACGGAGTGATTATATTTGACTTGGTGATCACTAACTCAATTAGTCTCCCATGCCATAATCCAGGCTAATCAATCAAAGTTAAAGTAAATACGGAGTAGGTAAAAGTTGGGCAAAAAGATATTGCTTTCCCTACATATAAGCCTAATGTTCTGATCCGCGTAAATTTTTCTCTTTATTCTATGAGAGCCCCCTACTATAATAAAGTAAAATTTGCACTAAATAGGACTAAAACATAATGACTTTCTCAATGTAGGACTTAAATTTTTTTATTTTTTAAATAAGACTAAATAATGACCTAGTGGAAGGAATAATGTCCAGTAATGATGGACATTTACTTGAATAATAACTACTTAATAATGACCAAAAGTCCTACATTGGGAAATAAAAACATATGGTCCTATATTAGAAAAGTCATTATGTTTTAGTCCTATTTAAGTAATTTCTCTATTATAAATGTGAGAAAGCCATTTCACTCAAATCCCCTCACTAAACCGTTAAAAAATCTCATTGTTCTCCACTCTTTTCTTAAATACTCACTAAGAAAGAGTGTGACAAAGGAAAAATGGGGTCAGTTGTAAACAGTGAAGTCCCAAAGCCTCATGCCGTGTGCGTCCCCTACCCTGCCCAAGGGCACATCAACCCAATGCTAAAGCTAGCCAAAGTCCTCCACCACAGAGGCTTCCACATTACCTTTGTCCACTCAGAATTCAACCACCGCCGCCTCCTCCGCTCCCGGGGACCGGACTCCCTCCGCGGCTCCCCGTCCTTCCGGTTCGAGACCATCCCCGACGGTCTTCCGCCGTCCGACGCCGACGCCACCCAAGACATCCCCTCCCTCTGCCGTTCCACCTCCACCGCTTGTTTACTCCCTTTCATGGAACTTCTGACCAAACTCAACAAAGACTCTGCCGCCGCGTCGTCCGATGCGCCGCCGCCGGTTTCGTGCATAGTCTCCGACGGGGTCATGAGCTTCACGGTGGCTGCCGCCGAGCAGTTGGGAGTCCCGGAAGTTCTGTTTTGGACGCCTAGCGCCTGCGGCTTCTTGGGTTATATGCACTATTCCAAACTCGTCGACTTGGGTTACACCCCACTTAAAGGTATCACTCATTGAACCAATTCAACAAAAGAAAATCAAAGATTTTGTGCTCTTACAGCTCTGTATACATTTTCCATTGTTTCAGATGAGAGCTGTCTTACAAATGGGCATCTAGAGACGAAGCTGGACTGTGTGGAGGGCATGAAAGGCATAAGGCTGAGAGATCTTCCGAGTTTCGTGAGGACCACGGACCCGAACGACTTCATGGTGAAATATTTCCTTGAAGAAACGGAGAGAGCGAAGAAGGCGTCCGCCATTGTCATCAACACCTTTGACGCATTGGAGCACGAGGCTCTCGCGAGCCTCCGGTCCATGCTTCCGCCCATCTACGATGTGGGCCCCTTACAGTTACTCCTCGAGAACGAGGAGGACGACGGGGTTAAAACGCTCGCGTCCAACCTCTGGAAGGAGGACGCGACGTGTCTGGATTGGCTCGGGACGAAACGACCGAACTCGGTCGTTTACATCAACTTCGGGAGCATAACGGTGATGACCACAGAGGAGCTGGTCGAGTTCGCCTGGGGATTGGCGAACTCTGACGAGCCGTTCCTGTGGGTCATCAGGCCTGACCTGGTCACAGGGGAGGGAGCCATGCTCCCTCCCGAGTTCGTGGAGGAGACGAAAGACAGGGGAATGCTCTCCAGCTGGTGCCCTCAGGAGCAAGTCCTGGCCCACCCGGCGGTCGGAGGGTTCCTGACCCACTCCGGGTGGAATTCGACCCTGGAGAGCATATGTAACGGCGTGCCGATGCTGTGCTGGCCGTTTTTCGCGGACCAGCCGACGAATTGCCGGTTCTCGTGCGTCGAGTGGGGGGTCGGGATGGAGATCGACGGGGACGTGAAGAGGGAGGTGGTGGAGGGGATGGTGAGGGAGCTGATGGAGGGGGAGAAGGGGGAGGAGATGAGGAGGAAAGCCATGGAATGGAAGAAGCTGGCTCAAGACGCTGGAGCTGCCGGCTCATCCTATAAGAGTATAGATAAATTCATCAAACATCTCAAGAGCCATTAACTGACACTTTTGTTGTGCTCATCTCATCGCAGTTTTCACCGTGTGTGTTGGAGATAATTAAATGTAAACTTGTGCACCATAGTGTCTCTCTGTGCTGTATTTTTTTTCACTTTTTAAGATCTCTAATAGGTTAGCAATATATATATATGTGTGTGTGTCTATATGTGTGTATATATAATAAAAGTATGATACTTTAAAATTAAGTTTTAAAATTAATCTTTTGAATATTGAATTTATATCGCACCTCAATATATTTCATCAACTTTTGGTTAAAATTTAAAAATAATTCATTTTTATTTTTAAACACTTCTTTGATATGAAGTTTTTGAGAAAACACATCTTTGAAATATTTCATTTTACTTTTGAAATATTTCATTTTGAACACTTCTTTGAAATGTTTAAGAAGTGTTCAAAAATCAAAACGAAATATTAGCTCTAGTTTGCCAAATCTTGTCTTTTGATTTTAACAAATAATATATCAGCTAACGTCTCTTTAAGTGTTATAGGTACAATAAGAATCCATTAAGATTCGGTAAAAATATAGGTATGTAGAAATAATTAAATGTAAGATATGACTTTATGTACCTATGTTCACGAGCTAAAATGCACTCACAAAATATGTTTGAAATCATCTATTATCAAATATTCAAAAGGTTTAAACGAAAAGGATTAAGCAAATTTGTAAAACAGTTGTTCAGGACCTATTTTGGTACCCCCTACCAGCGTAACGGTATGCCCTACCGCCTGGATTGTACCTAAGTACCGCTTGGTGCAAATTCCGCCAGAGCCAAATGGCATGTGCCAATACTCAGTACCCTACTACCGTAGGTCCGATACGTGGATACCGCCTGTGCTACCGTTAGTTTTGGAGAATTTCTGAATTTTAGATTTCAAATCTGATCACCTTTATTTATTCAAAATCGATCCTAATTAATCTCCAACAAATAATTAACGTTTTACACTTTAATTTTATAAATATGAACTCAACCCTTCATATTTCAACAAAATCCAAGCTTCAAATATAATACTCCGTATTTCATATCTCAAGTGTGTTTTTATTTTTGTTCTTCATTCTTAAAAATTTGGCTATTTTAAGATCCTTACTCTCCTGATTGTTATACACACATTATTGAGCTTGTAGTTTAGATATATATACTCTCATATTTATATGTATAATTTGTATTTTTTCTAGAGAGTATATTTTTGTTGTATGTACTGTTAGAGTGCATCCCACATCGGAAGTCCAAGAGTAAAATAATCCGGTATATAAGCTCTTGAGTTTAACTAACTAATCGATTGGATTCAATCTTTTAATGTGGTTCAGCCCAAATGTCTTATTGTCCAATCCAGTTGTCCATACCCAATCCTAAATTTTATCATGGTATCGGAGCAGGTTTTGGCCCACCTCGTTTGTCAAGGTGTCCGTCTAGACGTTCATTTCTAGCGGCCCGTTAGTCTTTAGCCCAATTGTCCGTATGGAAAATGTATCCAACGGCATGTGGCCCGTTTAACACGATTGCTCGTCTGGAAGTTCATACCCAGCGGCTCGTAGTCCTTTAGGTGTTAGCGCTCAAAACAAATAAGGGAATGGGAGTTCGAATATTTTTTAATCGGATATGGAAAGAGTTTTACTTGATCCGAAACTTTCGAATATCTGGAATTGCGGATCGGATTAATCCGATTGAACAACCATAATTGTAGCGGTTCGAGATAGCTGTTGTAAAATTTTAGGGTTGAGTCCTATTGGCTAGGGTTGTTTGCCAAACTAGCGCGGTGTTTTGACGAAGTTTAAGAAACCAGAACTTATTAGTGGATTTGGAAATCCTTAAGAAGAAGGCTTAAGGTATTGTAGTGGGAAGTTCTCGAATCAGTATAAAATTGGTGTATTATTTATTTTACGCTTTTAATTCTGTGGTTTACTTATTGCTTCCGTATTTGCCAAAACTAATTTTATTAAACTCGGAACAGTTTTTAAATGCCTTATTCAACCTCCTTTAAGGCGCGGGCACATCGACTAAGAAACACCTCACTAAAAAACGATAGAGAAGTAGAGAACGGCCAAAAAGGAGAAAAAAGAAACTTCTCGTTGTTGCACCAATCACCTACACTCTCACTAGAAAAAAACTCAGCAAACGTAATCTAGAGATCACTCGTCACACAATGAAGACCTAGTCCTCTACTTCTAGATGATATCCTCACAAAATTGCTTCCACAGCTCAATTCGAGTACATATGCTCAGAGTTGATCCTCGTTATGCTGATTATCAGCTTGTGGGAGAATACTAGGAATACTCTCTCTATTTCATGAAACGGTTCCCATTTTGACTTTTAGGAGAAAGATGAAAGAATACCTCGACAACTCACCCTCCAAGAAAGTAAAAAAAATTCTCACAATCGAGAAAAAAAGAGGGCATTGGCCGGATCCAAGGAAAAGAGAAAGAATGTCAAGTATCTTCAATCAAACAGGCACCTTCAATAGCCTTCCGGGTTTTTTTCAACGCCAGCAGCTACATGCAAGCGCACGTCAACCTTTTCTCTCTTCTTCAAAGACGTCAGCAACTCCCAACGCACGTTAGACTTCTCTCTTCTCCAATGACGTCAGCAGCTATCGGTGCACGTTAGACTTCTGCCTTCTCCAACGACGTCAGCAGCTACCAGCGCACATCGAACTTCTCTCTTCTCTAACGATGTCAGCAGCTACCAGCGCATGTAATACTTTTCTCTTCTCAAAGTTTCCAGTTTCTAACTAGTGTCCAAGCTTTCTCTTGCTTCAACTCGAGTTCAACTTGAGGGAGGATGTTAGACAATAATAATAGTAGTACTAGTTATGGTAGTGTTTGATTATTAGTGAGCTTCTTATTCCTATTTATTGTAGATGTAGTATTTTAGTGAGTTTCAATTCTCTGTTTCTAGTTGGGTTAGGAGTCTCTCATATATTTATACTCTATCATGTACTCCATAATTCTATGAGCAATATTACTATTCCAATATTTCAAAACTTCAATATATAAAATTGAAGAGAAAACAAATTGGTACATATGCTTTTAAGTTGAACTAATTAATTGATTGAATTTAAACTTTTAATGTGATTCGGCCTAATAATAGAAATATTGATGATAAAAGCAATAATAATAGAAATAATAATAATAGTAATCGTAATAATAATAGTAATACTAATAGTAAAAGAAATAATAATAATAGTAATAATAATACGGAGTAATAATAATTTTGTATTATGATAGAATATGATCTGATCTGATTAAATGTGATGTGATTTAAAGTATAATTTTGTATTATGATAGAATATGATCTGATCTGATTAAATGTGATGTGATTTAAAGTGTGTGTGGTAGTTACGGAGTACTTTAGTCAAGAGAACCCAAAGATAAAAGGCATGAGAAAGGAGAAAGAATAAATCTTTCTTTGTTTCCAGGCTGGCCGGCCGTGGTCGTCTTATTAGATGGGTCGTCGTCGTACGTCATGTTCCTTTAAGTATCTTCCAATCGAAGACAAGTTTTTAATTAATTTGTTGAATTAGAATTTTCCATCTCCTCTCATCATAATTCATATTAAGCTGCGAGCGTTTAATTTTTAGCTATGTATTCATATTATATATATGCACTGAACGAAAACTGTGTGTAGGCATGATGATGATGGGCTTCTATACCCACGCATTAACTGCGTGGTTCATTTTGCTGGTCCATTCATTTAGGGTTTCTCTTGCCGCCAACTCGGAAGGTACTAAATAACATATGTCTTCTTTCAATATGTAGTACTAAATTTTTTCATTCCTTAAAAGTATCTGAACAATGATACTTTCATACTATATTGGAAAACAAAAACATACGGTACTATATTAAGAAAGTTACATACTATGTTTTAGTACTATTTAGATAAATTTCTCTATTTATATTTGTAATTTTTTTGTTTTGATTAAGTGTTTACCCTAATTACGTGAAACGTCGTTTTAGTGGCCGAGAGACAGAATCACAGGTGGAAGTTAGGATTAATTGCCACCTAGTACTCAAGGTAGACAAGTTTTGATATCTTGGCTCGAGTATCCCGATGGTGAGTTAGTTAGACAGGGATGTTGCATATCGTGTTCGAGCAGCTTAGACTTGGTGGAGGTTGGCTTCAGGGGTTCTGTGTGATAAGAAGATTTTGAGTAAGATGAAAGAAAACTTCTTTTACTTCGTAGTGAGGCCGGCTGTGCTATAGGGTGCAGAGTGTTGGGCAGTTAAGAAAACTCATATTTGTCCATTGCATGTGGTAGAGATGCCGATGTTGCGGTGGATAAGTGGAAGGACGAGGATGGATAGAATCCATAACGAAGTTATTTGACGATGGGTACGCGTGGCTTCTGTGGAGGATAAGCTACGGGAAGTTAGCTTGAGATGCTTCGGGCATGTCAGGCGGCAAAGTGCCGACACCGCCCCCGTGTAGGGATGAGAGAGACTGACGTTGGTGGGTGGAAGTATAGAAAAAGGTAGATCTAAAAGGAATTGGGGGAGGTGATAAGGCTTCTTCCTCTCACTGAAGATATGACCTTAGATAGGAGCGTCTGGAGAGTTATGACTAGGGTAGTCGGATATGCACTCTAGACTTTGTGGTTCTTTCTTAATTGTACTTGTGTGCCTCGTTTGCTTGAAGGCTTGATGCTTTTTGGTGATTTGTTTTTGTTTAGTGTAAATAGTTTATTCTTAGTCTCTGTGCTTTTTGTTATCTTTCCGGCCTATATATGTCTTCTGTGATCTTAATTTTATCTGTGTTGTTTGAGACAGAGGTCTCTTGGAAATAGCGTCTCTACTCTTTAGTAGGACAAGGTCTACGTACACACACCTTCCACAGACTCTATTCTCGTGAGATTCAACTGTCTTCTTGATTTTGTGTTTACCATTTTTTTCTAAAATGCTAACACTAATATTTGAAAATGTTATTTTCAAAAAAATTCTAGATCTAAACCTTCTTCATTTAAAACTTTTCACAAGAAATCTTTATTAATTAGAGCTGAATTGAGAAGTTGCGGTATGGGACAGAATTTCCACAAACGAACTTTGCCGGCGATGGATGACAGGATTCCCACGGCGACTAAACTGTGACTAATGACGTCCAGAAGTTGGCGGCCTGTTGACGATGGCTAGAAGTTCGGGCGAACGGGACTTGGTGTTGCTGGAGTTGTAACACACAATTGCGGACAAACGGAGAAACACACAACAATTGACAAAGACAGTCCCCAACTTTGACAGCGGCTAAACAAGATTGACACCTCCACCGCTGTCACCGGACGAACTACGGACAACGGCGGTGAAAGAGACTGAACACCGATGGGAACCTAAGGCATATTGGGATTACGGTGTTGAAGGCCCAAGATTGGCTCTGATACCATGATAGAATTTAGGATTGGGTTGAGATAACTGGATTGGGCAATAAGACACTTGGGTTGAACCACATTAAAAGATTGAATCTTATCTATTAGTTAGTTTAACTCAAGAGCTTATATACCAGATCATTTTACTCTTGGACTTCCGATGTGGGATGCACTCTAACATGATAGAATTTAGGATTGGGTAAGGATAACTGGATTGAGCAATAAGACACTTGGGTTGAACCACATTAAAAGATTGAATCTAATCTATTAGTTAGTTTAACTCAAGAGCTTATATACCAGATCATTTTACTCTTGGACTTTCGATGTGGGATGCACTCTAACAATAACAATTGAGTTTTTTTATGCTCTAACATGCCCCCACACAAGTGGACAAATAATTTGTTTATGCTCAAGTTTTGCATGTGAATATTAATTATTTTTTTAATTAAGTTGTGGTGAGATTTGAACTTGCGACCTCTAAGGCAGCAAACCTTTGATATCATGTCATTGAATTAAGTCAACCAAAAACTTAAGCTAGTAGTTGTGCATATTCTAACAAATTTTATCCTTTAAGACTTTTTCAATGCAAAATTTATGACTAAGAAATCTACTTTATTAAATTTAGAATGTCATTCACATAGTAAATATTTTTAGTTTATTATAAATGAAATTTTATTTGAATAATAACAACTTAAATGGGATCCTATTACTCAAGATTCATTCATGGATCCGCCTCTATCTCTCCCTTCATTAATTTCTCACATTGTGTTTAATATAATTTGGACAGGTGATGCCTTGAATAGCTTTAAGACAAACTTACAAGACCCTAACCGCGTGTTGCAAAGTTGGGACAATAACCTTATTAATCCTTGCACTTGGTTCCATGTCACATGCGACGACCAGAATAGGGTCACACGAGTGTAAGAGCCCCCGGAACATTATTATTCCTTCTTCTTCAAACTATCTCCCCAGTTATTATTTACTTTCTCTGTTCCACTTTCTTTATCCACTTACCTTTTGGCACACCATTCAATACACTTCTTTAATCCATTTTATCTTGTAATTTGTATATTAAAAAATTATGGAAATTATATATTAATAATCTATATGTTAAGACAAATCAAACAAGATCACACATGACTATATTTAGGCTTGCACCTTGAGAGAATTTGATTAGTCAAAGTGCTTAGATGAACAGTTCCAAAAGTCAAAACTAGACAAAGAAAGTGGAACGGAGGTAGTATATGGTTAAACTTAAATCACTTTCTTTACCTATTTTTGGTAGTTATTTTAAAAAATAATATAGTCTTGTCAACTCTTGTTTTGTAGAACTTTTGATGTAGTTTTTTTAAATATATAAATTTTGTTTTTTAATTTTACACCCGCAATCAAATAAATTGAATTGAAAATAAAGTCGGTCAAACCTCGGAAATACAAACATGAAGATAGTTGTAGGACTGCGGAAGTATTTATCTTATTTAGTAAGAGTAAATATAGTTTTTTTTATAGAAATAAGAAGTGTTTTGTGGGACAAGTAAAAAACTAAAAGAAAAGAGAAGAAATTCTTGAGACAGAGGAAGTATATATATATTACGTGTTCTTCATTGAAATATAAATAATGAATCTGGCTTTACTTGGTGAATATATATATACATACATATATATATATATATATACATACATACATACATACATATATATATATATATATATATATATATATATATATATATATATCTTCTTGATGTTTTTTTGGTAGTGATCTTGGAGCTTCTAATTTAAGTGGTGGATTAGTTCCTCAGCTTGGGTCATTGCCGAATTTGCAGTACTTGTAAGTAGTGTACCTAAATATTAAAAATATTCTCCTTTAAAAACTATGTTTGATCTCTAATTACTCCCTGTATCTCTCAAATTTTTTGCTGTTTTGACTCCCTTTTGTCAAACAGTAACACTTTTTTTACTACGAATTATGATAAAAGTATATTAAATTATAATATAAATTTAAAATAATTGAGATTCGTCTTAGCATATATAGAGATTTAATATACCAAAATTTTAGTGCCATTTATTTATTTATATTATGCTTAATTTGTGATCAAAGAATTTTATTGTTTGACCAAAAAGTCAAAACATGAAGAATTTTCAGAGATGAAGGGAGTACTATTTTTGCCTATGTTCTTAGCCATTTCACTGAGGCCCTGTTTTGGAACAACGATTTTGATTCGCGTTAGTGTTTTGAATAAAAATTTAACATAGTAGATTATTTTTGAAAACACTAACTAACGCTAAAGGCTGACGCCCAATAACCTTTTGAAAATACTAATGCTAATCTCAGACGTTGATGTCTAGCGAATAAATAAATTAAATAAAATTGCTTGGTTGGGTTGTGACATGCAGGGAGGTATACAACAATAGCATAAGTGGACAAATTCCACCGGAATTGGGGGATCTAACAAATTTGATCAGCTTAGATCTGTACGGGAACAGCTTAACTGGTCCCATTCCCGCCTCATTGGGCAAACTTTCAAAACTCCGATTCCTGTATATGCAAACTAAACTTCTTTTTTATTTTTGTCAAAAGTTTTTAATTATATATTCTAATAACGGGGATACGTACTTATTAACAAATGTTTTACTGTATGAATTTGGATGCATATACATAGCCGCCTCAATAACAATAGCTTGTCCGGTTCCATTCCCGTGGAGTTAACACAGACATGGGGTCTCAGTGTCCTGTAAGTATGTGACTCCCTCGATCTCTTTTCTGAGTATTTGTTTACCTTTGACCTCTTTGGATCAAAATTGGTAACCTTTGACCTCAAATTAAAGAAATGAAATTAGACATTGATGCAAAACTATTGTTATTAGATTTATTACATCAAATATTTTTAAAATATTATTTTATCTAATTAATATACAATATACTCCGTATATTTTATTTAATTATAGGTCAAAGTTTACAAACAGTTGTCTAACAACCATTTGTCACCATACATTTTTTCTTTTTTTTTTTTGCCCTCATCGTCACTGGTTCTTGGATTCATTTCAGGGATCTATCAAACAACCGGTTCTTTTAGCGGGTTTACCCCTATCAGGTAGATATATATACACCTACCATTAATTTTTGAAATATTTGCACTAAATAGCACTAAAACTTAAGTCATTTCTCTAAATAGCACTTAAATTGTTTTATTTCCTAAATACCCCGGAGTAACACTTAATAATCTCCATAATAACTAGTGATGACGAATATTTTACTTGAATAATGACTACTGGATAATGACTAAAAGTGCCACATTGAGAAAAAAACACATGTAGTACTATTTAGGAAAAGTCATTATATTTTAGTGCTGTTTATGTAAATTCCTCTTAATTTATTTTGAAACGTAATTTTAAAATATTACTCCTGATCTTTCCCAACAATTTTTTTCTCCTTTCAACTACTTTTACCCGTTTCAAAAACCCTTTCTAGTTTTTATTTGAAAGTACTTTTTATCCCTAGCTAACACGTCCTATCTATTTATTACTTTCTCTATCCCTGAAAACATTAGAGATTTTGATTTTAAGGGATTTGAGGGGAGTGTATTTTGGTGTTGAGTTTCCAAAAAATGTTCTTAATGTGATGGGTAAAAATATGATTTGATATGCAAATTAATAGTGAATAGATGTGATGTGATATATATGTTACAAATTAGTACGGGTAAAAGTGACTTTTTAATAGAAATGAGAAGAGTTTTTTGGTACGGATCAAAAAAGGAAGGAGAAGGATCAGGAACGGGGGTAGTATTAATATAACTATTACTTCTTCCGTACCAAAAAATTTTACACATTTTGACTAATGTGAAAATTAAAGGAGGGATAGTTTTGTGTTGACTTTCCAAAAATAACTTTGATTTGATGTGTCAAAGTAGGATGTGATATGTAGATTATAAGGAAAAATATATGATGTGATAGGTATGGTTTGAAAAAGTAAGGGGTAAAAGGGGTTTTTTAATAGAAATGGGTAGGAAATTGTGGAACGCAATTTTTTTGAAAGGTGTAAATCTTTTTGGGACGGAGGGAGTATATCTTACTTTAACCTACCATATTTAAGGATATTTTTTAAAAGTCAATACCAAAATATACTCTTTGAAAATTCTTTCAAAGTCAATACAAGAAGGATTTTTAGGGACAAAGAAAGTATATGTCTATATACAAATTAAATAGAGATATAAATTGTCAAATTGTGGTCGTGAAATTAAAAGTCAAATTAAAGCAGAAGAATGATATACGATGGAGGGAGTATAACATACTAGCTGCTTCCGTTAAAAAAAATCACAGTTTATCATTGCAAATTTATGTGAGCTTTTGTTTATTTGTACGCACGTTTTCATCGATTATTTGATAAAACAAAATACTCTTGTCACATCTTCTTTTGAAGAACTTTTGACGTAGTTTTTAATTAAATATATAACTTTTAGTTTTAATTTCTATACAAATATTTAAATAAAATGTATTGAAAAAGATTGAAATTTTTTTCGTTTGACATAATGTGACAATGTGTACTCATACCATATATCTCATTTGCTTTCTATGTGAATGTAGCTTTGGGAACAACCCGGATCTTTGTTTTCCTACCATGGAACATCCTTGTTAATGGAATGGGAGAATTGCAGGGGAAGATGAGTACGTTACTTACATGAATAAGAGTCCGGTTCCATGGCCACTGGATTTCAAAGGTCACGGAAGCCACTACCCCCCTACAGAACTTCGTTCATAAAATTGATGATTCCTACCCCTCTAACCCCCCGGTAAACCTCCCTGCCAAGTCCCAACCCAAACTAATCACCTCACCTACGTCAATTGCACCTCGTAAGTATAATTGACTTTAAAGTCAAAAGTTTTGACTTTATACTTACGAGGTGCAATTGACGTAGATGGGATAATTAGTTTGGATCGGGATTTGGCAGGGGGTTTACCGGGGGGTTAGGGGGGTAGGAATCATCAATTTTATGAACGGAGCTCCGTAGGGGGCAGTGGCTTCCGTGGCCACTGGAACCAGTGGCCATGGAACCGGGCTCCATGAATAAATTCATCAAACATCTTAAGAACGAATCAGTCATTAATTAATTAACACTAATGTTGTGTTATCATCTCTTCCCAATTTTCACCATTTGTGTGTTCTATATATGAAGAAAAATAATACAAACTTCTAGGAGTACATGATGATAATTCTGTATTTACTCGATTATGTTTTTAATTATTTGATATAAAAGACTGTGTTTATTCTCTATATATGATTGTACATACTTTGAATCATCAATATACATCAACATACTTTGTACACATTAAAACTATTATTAAAGTTTGATATTTCAAACTTGGAAATTATGAAATAGTTACAATGTATGGAAAATCATCTTTGCTCTTCAATTTTTTATATTGGTACTCTAAAATGCACTATTCATCTATCTCATATGAATAAGGAGTATTATTTTTAAGTGTCAATAACAAAAAGTGGAGAGTAGTTAAATACTCCGTACTATTTACCCCTCTCTGTATGCATGTTTTAGTGTATGGAGTAGTACTTTATTTATAGCAAAATAGCAACCACGCCAGGTGTACACTAAGGAACAATATACCTCAAATTGTACGTTCTACATGTGCACCGATACTTTGATGGTTCACACTGAAAAAATGTTGAGCAATCAAAAAAAATTACACTAGTATTTTGCGACAGTATAAACATCACATTAGCACAAAGTGTGGATGCATACCTGTGGTGTATAACTTGAGGAGTTGGGGTAGACTCCTTTAAATTCTTTTTAAAGGAAATGACATTTCAAGTTGTACCTATGATGTACAACTTGAGTTTGTAAAACCAAATAAAATTTTAAGTTTTTTAAACACATTTTATTTACACTATGTTTGGTTCAAAGAATTTGAGAGTACATAAAATGAAACAAAATTCTTAAAGATTTAAAAAACTTGAATACACTCCTTTAAGAATTTTGTTTCATTTTACGTTCTTATGTTTTTTAAACGAAACAAAATCTTAAGTTTTTTCATGCTTATACCCATCTTTAAGATTGGTATAAAAATGAAAAATAAGATTTGCAAAATGAAATCCCCACAAATAAGAGCACAAACTTTGTTAAAGACATAAATTCAAGTTGTAAGAGTTTTTTTTAAATAGACTTACGCTATGTTTGGCTCAAAGAATTTGAAAGGAAACGAAATAAAAAGAAATTGATCTTCTCTCATTTTTTTCTCACCAAAACAAGAATATGGTTTTCCTATTGGTGAGAAAAATGAGAGAAGATTAATTTCTTTTTATTTCTTATTGATCTTTTCCTTCCTATAGCTAGTGCATTTTGCACGATTGACTGCAGACTAAGACTATATTTTGAATCGTTTTGGTCTGATTCGAATAAATTCTTATCTGATTTAATTTAAATGTCATTATATGTAAAATTATTTTTGATCTGACACAATCTAGTTCGACTTGATTCCAATAAGAAAATCAAATTCTTTTCATATATCTGGTCCGATTTGAATCGTTTTGGTCTGATTGTAGTACATTCTTATCTGATCCGATTTAAATGTCGTTATATGTAAAATTATTTTTGATGTGACATAATCTGGTCTGACTTGATTCCAACAAGAAAACCAAATTCTTGGAATCAAGTCGGACCAGATTATGTCAGATCAGAAATAATTTTACATACAACGACATTTAAATCAGATCGGATAAGAATTTATTCCATTCAGACCAAAACCATTCAAGATATAGTCTTAGTCCGTAGTCAATCGTGCAAAATGCACTAGCTATAGGATAAGCTTCTATTTTCAAAAGATGGATAACATTTTTCAAACCCAACATATCAGGTAAATATAATGTCGGTTCTACGCGTTTTTTTTTTCTTTTAATTGTTTTATAAGCATCTTTTAAAGCTTGAGAACAAAATATTTTGACAATATTTTCCAAATTAAAAGTGCAAGTTCATATGCCCACTTCGTTTGGAAATACTAGAATCGTACCTATGCGTTACACATTCAATAATTTATCTTAAATTTTAAACACAAGAAAAAAAATATATGCCTAATTCAAATTTAAATATTAATTTAATAGAATATTATGAATTAATAGAGCATTCAGAAAACACACTTTACCCCATAATATATTTTTATAGTAGAATATTTTTAAAAAATAAATAGTCCGTTCTCATTTCTTTAAAAAAATAGCACTAAAAGGATAATCCAAAAGTAAGATTATGATCTAGTCCTTTGAAAAGTAGAAATCTAACTAGAGCAATGCTAGGGTACACTAAAGGTGTACCCCAAATGTACATCACCCCCTTCTCCACCACTTATTTTTATTTTATTTTTATTTATTTACTTTTTTTTTTAAATTTTGTGGACAAGGAAGGGGTGAGGGACAAATGATGTACACATTTGATGTACCCCTAGCATTTTTCATCTAACAAACACATGATCTCTTCCGGAAATAAGCTCAGACAATTATACTAGACATTCTCACACTCTTGTCTTCTCAAATACTCCCGCTCTCTACCTAAGATCTTCCCATTGCACGTTATAAGGCTTGACCGACTTTATTTTCAATTCAATTTATTTGAATATAGGGGTAAAATTTTAGTATAAAATCTATATAGTAATAAACTACATTAAAAATTCTATAAAACTAGAGGTGACAACACTATAATATTTTATGAAATGAGTAATAAAAATAAACAAACAATGTGAACTAAATTTGACCCTGTGAATAGTGTCTGAAAAGATCTATGATGGACATAAAGAGTAGTATTTAAAGAAATTTGTAAAAGTTACAGAGAATGTTTCTAGAAAGATCATCATATATCAAATAGGGACAACTACACAATTAGATCCAGTGAGAGTAATTAAAATCTAGCAGAAGAACCTTTGCATCTACTCAAACAAAAGACAATAAAATGATTAACTCTTAGCCACTCACTTCCTCCTTAGAGCATAAAAGTGCAAAACCTTCACAGTGATATGAAAGTGGCACATAAATCTGGTGAACAACATAAAAATTGAACTATAACTTGCAACAGAACATATTAAACTCCAAATTATAATTGCAAGGTGATAGAATTTAGGATTGGGTAGAGACAATTGGATTGGGCAATAAGACACTTGGGTTGAACCACATTAAAAGATTGAATCCAATCGATTAGTTAGTTCAACTCTAGAGCTTATATACCGATTATTTTACTCTTGGATTTTCCGATGTGGGATGTACTCTACACTCCTCCTCAAGTGGACAACCGGGCCATTTTGAAACCTAACCGGTTGACCACTTGCAAATGAACTCTCATTCCCTTGACTTTTTTATGAGCGCCAACACTTAAAGGACAACGAGTCGCTGGGTATGGACTTTCAGACGAGCAATCGTGTTAAACAGGCCACAGGCCGTTGGGTACAACCTCCATACGGACAACTAGGCTAAAGACTAACGGGCCACTAGGAATGAACGTCTAGACGGACACCTTGACAAACGAGGTGGGCCAAAACCTGCTCTGATACCATGATAAAATTTGGGATGAGTACAAGCTTGACCCAATCACCTTCGTTCATTGTTTTTATCAAATTTTTTTTAGTCCTAGTTTTTTTAATTGTCCAAGTTATGCATTCGTTAACCTCATGCTCAACTTGAAAAGGAGTGTTAAGGAATGTAGTAGGGTTTGTCGTTAATGGGCTCATTCTTATTGAGCTCGTGATTAGGTCATGGTCTTGTAGCTATTATAAATAGCGGATCTATGTGTAATCAATTCATTCGAGTTTAGTTCTAATTTTATTTCTACATGGTATTGGAGCCAAACCCTGGGAGCATACCCTAGTTTGTTCTAGTTTCCGCCGCCGTCGCTCAATTTGTCCAGTGACAGCGGCATCACCATCTGCATCACCATCTAATCTCTTTATTAATTGTTGTGTAATTGTTGATGCTATAGATATGCGTATCTGCATCACCATCTAATCTCTTTATTAATTGTTGTGTAATTGTTGAGGCTATAGATCTGCGCCAGGCAGTCTGCCCGAGTCCTAAATTGAAGTCGTTCGTGCCTCAGCCTGAAGTTGCTGTCGCCCCCTGGTTTGATACCTTCGTTGTTGCAGTTGTGCATTGATGCTGATAGACGATAGCCATAACCGCGGGAGCCCACCGTCGATCGAGGTCTAGGGGTTGCAAGTCGCAACCCTTGCCCATCAGTTATTTTTTATGTTCGTCCTTCTAGCTTCTCCCACATGTGGGCAAGTATTCTGGACAAGAACAACTGGACCAGTCCCGTGTGTCTCTGGTGTAGCTCATTAAGCCATATAAATTGAGGAAGTATTTGTTGGTTGTAACTATTTGTTAGTCTCAAATTTAGTTCGCAAGTTCCAACCACAAATAGGGTTGGCCACTGCAATTGTCTCATGGGTCTATTTATTGGTTTTGGCTTGATTTGTTCACGCTCCGCAGAAGAAGGTTTTCACTCTACCGTTCATCGAAATTTGATGACGTTTTTGGCGACATTGTTTTTGGTTGCTATTTGGTATGTTCACGTGCAACCTGTATGTTTGGCATGTTTGTTTGTGAGGTCGGTTGCATAGTCGCACCTCAGTTCGACATATCTGTTTGTGAGGTTGGTCGCATTGTCGCGCCTCAGTCCGACAACATGGCCTCCAAGTTTGGGATGCTTGTTAGTCGTCCCCGTGTCACCACGTGGGAGTCATTCGTCATCAAAATTTATTGTTGGTTTGCAGGGCCGGTCAATTTCGTTCATTGTTGTCAGAGCAGATCAAGTTCAAGTTGTTTATCAATTTTTTTTAATCAATAATTTTTTACATGTTTAAACGCACAGATATTGGAAAGAAAGGCCCCTGAACATAGTTGTAATTATACTTATGAATGGCAAATATTTTAGTGTTACCAAAGTTTTATGTCATATACCAATAATATTAGACCTAATAAGGTAATAGAAAATAAAAAAACAAAAAGATGACGGAAAGAAGTCAACCTAAAAAAATGTCATGGAGTAAGCCGATGAAGTATTTGTAGTGAAAACGAGACAATCCTTAAGGCTCCGTTTGGTACACGAAATTCAAACTATGGAATTGGAATTGAGGACTTCAATTCCAATTCTAGTGTTTGGTAGCACAAAAATTTTGTAGATTTGGAATTGGTAGTGCAAAAAATGAATTGAAATTGGTGAATTCAATTTCTATGGAATTGAATCCCATGGATTTTTAATTTCAATTCAATTCCAATTCCATCAAATCCGTGTACCAAACGGACCCTAAGTGATATTGATCCAAATGATAATCAGTGGGCAATCATCTTAGAAAGCCTATGACATGGATTTATGAAGCACAAGTGCGTGTGCGTGACTGGTGTGTAGTTGCGGATAAATTTAGGAAAATTCAACCTAATTAAAAGGACAAAAGAATTTTGATATGCTCGAAAATGAGTATTCAATATGCTCGAAAATGAGTATTCAATTATTTACTCATTTTCAAGTAAATAAACACTCATTTTCGAGTAATTATAGAATTTTGATATGCTCGAAAATGAGTATTCGGTTACTCGAAAATGAGTATTCATGTCGATGTACGAAAAATACCATACATCCAGATATATAGTATAAGTACTCAATTTAGAAGGTTTTTTAGGCACTGTGACTTTTCTTTTCTTTTTGGCCTGTGTGTTATGGCAAAATTTTCCATGTGTGTTAAATTAATGGTTATCTGTAGTTTTATTCTTTGACGAAAAGAAAATGGCGTAAAAACAAAAGGTAGTTTTATTCTTGGAGATCATAAGTTTCAATTTTATTTTCATTTTGATTTTCCATCTTATTTTTATTTTTTATTCTGGATTTTCTTTATAAACTTACCAAAAAAATTATTGTAAAAACAAAAGGTGAAAATGTTTAATTTGAGATAGATGGAGTATATGAATTTTTTATTTTTATTTTTATTTCAAACACAAAGAATTATGAATTTTTTAAAATATTACGAGTATAAAAAATGAAAACAAATTTTAAAAAAAAACCTTTCTACTATAAGAGGAAAAAAACAAATAATAAACAAAAAATAAGAAAGAGCACAAGTGTTCTCCTATGGTTTAGAAAATATGCACCAATACCTCTTCTTCAAAAGAAAATGACCGGAAGATGATCAGAGAAACCGTGAGTGGAACGTTTTGAAATTATAAAAACTTTAAAAATAAGTTTTGAAAATAGAGGAGATATGGTTGGTGAATGAGTAATTACAGTTAGAGGTGTTCATCGGTCTAGAACCGGACCAAACCGGACCGGAGACCGAAATGGAAAAAAACTTGGACCGAACCTATAATTAATCGGTTTAAGACCGAACCATACCGAAATAACTTAGACCGAACCGGCTAGGACCGAGAAGAACTAAAAAAGCAAAAAAAACAAAAACTAATGTGAGTTAAAATCGTAGCAGTGTGTGTGGCCGTGTGGGTAGGAGAATTTGAACATTAAACCAGATTTAGTACTGAATTGATACTAAACTATGGTAATTAATCGCGAGGAATCAAATTCAGAGGTTTCCCTCTCTCTTATGTTTTCTGCTCTCATCAAAGATGACTTCTTCCCTCTCTTGAAATTCTTCTCTAAGAAAAAAAATAAAAACAGACAATGGATTTGGAATGGATCGGATGACTAACTTGAAGATTGGTGCGAATCATATATTGGAATAGATTTGATGTGAGAATCGCAGATTGGTGCGAAAAAGATGATGGAGAGGCAAACAAAGTCGCAGAGATCGGATCTGGGTGGAGTTTAATTTGGCGGAAATAGGATTGGGAGAGAGAGGTTGAAATCATTAAGGTAGTGTTTGGCAACTAGTATTTCTTTTCAATTCATGCATTTCAATTCCAAAATTTGAAATATTAAATTTCAAATGATAAGGGGATGTGTATGAATTTTAAATTAAGCTTTGTTATGAATGAGAAGAATTTGACTCAAATCCAAATTCAAAATTTTTAAGTTTTCCAAACATGGAATTTGAGCCAAATTCGAATTTGAAATCTAAATCCATGTTTAGTAACATACCATAAATGAATTGGGACGGAGATATGATTGGGACGGAGGCATGCCCTTTAAAAACATTAAATGGGCCAAGTAATAGGCCTTAACTTCAAGTTCGAATATGGAATAAATGGGTAATGTCCCGGACCGAATAGAAATCGGGTATGGACTAGCCTGGACCGAAATCCGATATTTCAAATAATCTAGACTGAAGACCAATCCAAAATCCATTCGGTCTGAGTTCAGTCTAAGCCTATTAGTCCGGTTCGGACAATTATTTCAATATGGACCTAAACATGGTCACCCCTAAATAGTAAATACTGTTGCACTCGTACGGGCGCAAAGAAAAGCATGAAACAGTTTCGAGTTGGGCGGGTAGGGCCGGGCAGCGCCCCGAGGGACAGACACGCCCCCCCAAAAAGAACACATAATAATACTCTCTGCGCGCATATATACTCCGCAGTAGAGAGTGAAAATGCAGAGCTCTCAGGCCAGACAAGCCCAGCTAGAGAGGGAGAGAGAGTTACAAATGCACTTCAGAATGTGAAAAAAATGCACTGAGGTTTCAAAAATAGGGAGTATGAAAAAGGGTATTTCCGCAAGAAGTGGAAAAGCTCACAATTCAACAGAACCCAAAGTTAAAAGCAAAGGAAAAGGGGTAAAGATTGAATCTTTCTTCGATTCCGGGCTGTTCTTGGGTCTCTGGGTGGTGAATGAATCTTGACCCTCTCGTCCGATCTAAGACAACTTTTTGTTGATTTTCTCTTTGCGAGTGTGTAGCTGTATGTATATATGCACATAAATCTGTATGTATATGCGATGGAATATGTATATACAGACGCATTAGTTGTGTGGCTCATTCTGCTGCTTCATTCATTTAGGGTTTCTGTTGCCAACTCGGAAGGTTCTTATTTATATTTGCAGTTTCTGCTGTTTTTGTTTTGATTTTGTGTTTATCATCATTTATTAATATTATTCAATTATAATTGAAGAATTGGGAACCACTAAATTAATGTTCTTGGTTTTCACATTGTGTTTGAACAGGTGATGCTTTGCATAGCTTAAGGGCAAACCTAAGAGACCCTAACAATGTGTTGCAGAGTTGGGACCTACCCTTATTAATCCTTGCACTTGGTTCCATGTCACTTGCAACAACGACAATAATGTGATACGAGTGTAAGAACCCGCTAGTGGTGTATTCATTCGTGCTTCAATTTGTGTAATGAGTCTATTTTTAGTACATTTCTTGTTTCTTTTTTTGGTATAGTGATCTTGGAAATGCAGCTTTATCTGGTCAATTAGTTCCTCAGATTGGGTTATTGAAGAATTTGCAGTACTTGTAAGTGTACTTAATCAGATTCTGCATTTTCTATTTGGGATTTTTTTTCTCTTAAATAAAAGTTTGTTAATTCTTTAATCTTTACGGTGGTGTTCTTCTTCATTGGTCCAACAGACTTCAAGAACTCATAACTATGAAAAAGAACTATGAAATACAAAGAGTTTAATTTGGGTTGTTGGTTTGTGACAGGGAGCTATACAGCAATAACATAAGTGGACAAATTCCAAAGGATGTCGGAAATCTAACAAATTTGGCCAGCTTGGATCTCTACATGAACAGCTTTACTGGTCCCATTCCGGATTCTTTGGGCAACCTTTCAAAACTCCGATTCCTGTATGCACCATTTTACTTTGGCATCATCAGTATAGCTGTTTATACAGTTGAAGGGAGTTCGGTTTTAAGAAAATATATGCATTGTTAGATCATCTTGATCTAGATTGCCATTTTTGTTATTGATCTGTCAAAATTAGGCATCAAATAGTGTTTCACTGACTTCAAGCTGAACATAGTGATTGCCTATTAGGAAAATTTGAACAGTCTACCTCATTGAGATGCACTACTATATTTGAACACCAAAAAATGCACACTACATTTTGTTTGGTATTAAAGAGTAGAAGTGAGTTTTCTTTTTTGAAGTTGTGGGGCCACCTTACTGGGTTCTTGTTGTAGGGTCCACCAGGAAAAGTTTCTCTTCTAATTACATAGGAAGAAATGGAACAGCTCTCTCTCTCTATTCTATATCATTTGTATTTCTCTAAAACAAAACAACACATTTGTACTCTAGTTCTTGGGTTGAAACGGTAGAAGATCTTTCTCTTGCTTCAACTCGAGTTCAACTTGAGGGAGGATGTTAGTAGCACTAGTTATGGTAGTGTTTGATTATTAGTGAGCTTCTTATTCCTATTTATTGTAGATGTAGTATTTTAGTGAGTTTCAATTCTCTGTTTCTAGTTGGGTTAGGAGTCTCTCATATATTTATACTCTATCATGTACTCCATAATTCAATGAGCAATATTACCATTCAAATATTTCAAAACTTCAATATATAAAATTAAAGAGAAAACAAATCGGTATCCAACATAAAAATTTGAAGAGAAAACAAATTGGTACATATGCTTTTAAGTTGAACTAATTAATTGAAATGCATTAAAAAATAAAAATAATGGGACTGAAAGAGTATAAATAAGTATGATTGTTACCCAGTTGGGTGAGAACTGAGAACCAACTTGGAAGAAGAAAAAAGAGAGAAGATTACACAGCTGAAAGAAAAGAAATACAGCACTTTGTATTAAACACAATTAACATGGAAAAAAGCCATTGAATTCGTAAACATGGAGAGATTGCTCCCAAACAAGTAGTATAGTTGGCAAATAGGTAGGCTAACCTCATGAGTCAAGGCTCACGGCTCATGAGGGGACCTGGAGTTAAACAAGTTCGGGTACGAGAAGTACGACTCGTCGTCCATGGAAGCCAATCTCTGAGGTTGATGATGACCATCGACACGCACCTGCCCTGAATTATGGCCAAGTTCATCACGGCTCCCTTGCGGGCTGCCGGAATCATAGGAAGCAGCTTCAGTGTTGCGAACTGTGCTGCTTTCATCATCACTCTTTTTCTTTGAGAACTCGCTAATCCTGAGCTGCGCGAGGCTAGCCACCGACCGAGCTGCTGCAGCGGCACGTTCGGCTGTTTCAGCTGCCGCCTGAGCTGCAGCTATCACATCGTTTAGATCTATATTGGAGGCTTCACTTTGTTTTGCTGAAGATGATGGGGGAGACATGAATGTCTTCTCTTCCTTTAGAATGGGTGTTAAAACTTCATTATAAGATGATTCAATCCCCTTGGCAGCAGACCTCTCTGGTGTTAAAGCTTCTTCGCACTCCTTCATGTGTGGTGAAGAATATTGTTCGGCATTGTGGTCAAGATCAGATAATGCAGAGGCAGGAAAAGGAAGCATTTCTGGGGTTGAGACTGACGCCGTGTTTGGCTGCTGCCTAGGGACCTCCGGTAAATCTAATATGTCATCCTCTTCATCCTCAGAATCGGACCGCTTATCCACGAATCCTGAAGCATATTGTGCCGTTTCATCGCTATGTTTCTCCTCTGGAAGAGGCAGCTTAGAACCGCTCACAAATTGTGTTGGTCCATGCTACAAATGTCACAAACAATCCAAGTTATGGGTTTACAAAATTATTGCTCTCTGTCACTGAATGAAAGTGGTTCAAAACTGAATTTATGTCCCCTAACTACATACTCCATAAGTTGGAAAAACTGGCACTACATACTTTATGCTGGCAATTAGAAAGTTAAGTTATAAAATGCCGAGAATTTAGTCCCGAAACCATTGAAAAAGGGAACATTCACGCGTAATTGGTGCTGATGTGACAATTTCAATAGAAATTGGAAATGACTATTTTTAGAACATAAAAATACGGACATTTAGCCAATTGAAAAACATCTATTGCATTTTTTCAAGTTGATAAAATTGTCACATAAATGTTAATCCACTACATCGCTTAATTTGATCTGAACTTTTGGGAGAATTTTCATGTATGGTGACTTTGGGACTAAAATCTCACTATTTATGCCTAAAGTGCCAAAACATATTCCATCAGGACTAATTGTTTCAACCTCTTATGATTAAGTGATGAATATGCATTTTAACAAAATGTTAGTGGTAAAATGCATAGAGTGGGTTAGTAACATACAAGCAAGTCTTCATGTGGCTTCAACAATTCGGATTCGCTAGCACTTGGATCCCAGTCTAGTTCATGTTCCTCGGCAATTTCCTTCAGGACTTTCAATTTCACTTCAGGAGCAGGAGCACGAATCGATAGCAACTCTATCAACTGCAGGTGTAAAAAAGAGACCAGAACTCCACAAGTATTAAATGATTCATCTTTATCATCTAGATCAGTTAGATCAGGTGGTGTGTGTGTGTGTGTGTGTGTGTGTGTCTATACACACACACACGCACACACACACACACTTATGTATGTATGTATGTGTGCCCATGTATATGTCTATCATAGGTGGGTATAAGCTTTATAACCTGGCGATTTACACCACATTCAGGTCTAAGCTCTGTGGCAGCTGCAACAAATTCTTTTCCATATTTTCCAGCAAACGACATTTGAACCTGCAGCAATTCTGGAAGATCTGCACATCTTGGTGCAGCAAAACATATACTTGAAATTGCTTCTTTCAGATCCAGAGGGCATTCCCTAGCAATTGAGAAGTGGATGGTAAATCAGATCCAAAGACGCACATATGCATTATAACATGTATATATATATACTCTTTCTGTCCCTGAATGAATTTTACCCATTCTAAAATAAAGATTATATGGAGTACTTTCTTTTCTATTGAGAAAGAGGAATATGTGGCTTACAATAGTTCCTCTTCCAAACATATTTCAACCACACATTTTTTCTTTTCAACGCTGTTCTTAAACTCCGTGAAGTCGAAGCGTAAACTTAATACGGAGGGAGCATTATTGTGTTGACAACCCAGAAACAAAGACAACAAATTATAGCTTCAGTTTTTGAGAACTCAATAACTCGGCACTGCCTAAAGATGCAAGTCAAAGCAGGTGAAACCAGACTACTTATAGACTTCACGTTTGAGATTAAAAATGATGATAAAAAATATCCATTTTTTCTCCGTATACCTTTGTGCCTCAATGATTGGGAGGCGAACCGCTATGAGCTCAGAAAACAGCTCAACTATCTCCTGGGCAGCCATCATTTTCTCTTCTCTAATAATATGTTCAACCTGAATTAACAGCGGGAATGCCATTAACTCAATGGGTAGACGAAACACATGTAAATTCGGAACAACTGTTTGGACATTGAGAAGGAAGCATACCCGAATCCGAGCAGTGGCTTCCTGACCAGTTTCCAGAAGCTTGGCAATTTCTTTCCTCATCTGCTTCAGTTGCATCTCTCTGCGGTTTCTCAACAGCTTTATCCGAGGAATTGTCAGTTTCAATAGAGTTTTACTGCAAAATGAAAGAAATTAAAAAAAACGATCATCCACAAGCTCAAGATAGAATCGCACAATTGATCTAACTATTGAAGAAACATATGCAACATATCTCCACAGGAAGTAAAAATAGAGCATTCAAAGTTATTCAATGTATAGAAATTCCTCTAAGGAGAAACCCTAGCTACAGATACATGAGAGATGGAAAAGGGAAAGGGGATACCATTTGGAGGCCTTGAAGCCTCTGCTGAAAAACGAATCCATCTCAAATCTCGTCTCGATTCAGCTCGTTTTGGCAGGGAACTGTTGAAGACAACTAAAATCGATTCAAGCTCTCATTCTCATTTCACTGTGATTTGATGAAAGCTTGCGGAGATTCCAACAAGACGATACTGTGATCATCAGAGGACTGCGAAGTCTCCGTTTTTGCTTACGGTGGAAGGGATGAATACTTATTTTATTCATACGGATTAGTCCGTACTGTTTTTACTTGCCCCCAAATATGGGGTTGGTTGATCGGATAGGATGTAATTTTTAATTAATTTTGTTTGATATTTGACATCAATTAATTTGATCTAAAATAATTATCTTCTTCGTACCAAAACAAGTATCACAGCTCACTATTAATGAATCACAATTTTTTTATTTTTTGTTTTCACTAATTAATTGATAAAATGATATATTTTTGTCACTTCTTGTATCATAGAACTTTTCATTTGCTTTTTTAATATGTAAATTTTATTTTTTATTTATATACCAATATTTAAATAAAATTAATTCAAAAAACTCAAAATTCTGACCGGTTTAACGTACTTTTGCAATCCTTTTTGGATGGAAGAATTATCATAATAAGAATAAGTATTGTAATACAGCTATTCCATAAGTAATAAGAATAAAATAAAAGAAAAATTTTAATTGATTAATCGACAATGTTAAAATAACATCAAAATGAATTTCTCCCTTCTTTGAATGGTAGGAAGTTCATACTTTAAAATTCATGAGAATGTTCGTCCAGATTTAAGCTCAAATGGGGAGGAAGTCATTTCTCGTTGTAGAAGTTGTATTGTAAACACTAGCCTAAGACTTTCCATTCCTTTGATGTATATGTAAGCACTGGCCTAATAAAATTTCTATATTGCGTTTGATCTGGTTTTTCGAATATTCGTTTAATCCTTCTGGTTTGAGTTTAAAACCTTTTGGATATTTGAAAATGTTTATGAGATGTTTTTAAAATGTTTGTGAGTGCATATTAGCTTGAGAATATAGATATATAAAATCATATCCCTACATTGATTTCTACCTATATTCTACGTTAGTTTAATGTTTTAACTTCATTTTTTGAGAACTGAATCTTAATGAATTCTTGTTGTACATGAAACACTTAAACAAACATTTAACTCTTATATTGTTTGTTAACATCAAAACACGAGACTTAGCAAAACAAGGATAACAAGAATGAGGACCTCCAGCGAAAATCAGAAGCAACGTGGTAGTCAATATAAAGTTGTATATAAAGAATAACTTTAAAAATAACTTACTCTAGTACCTCGTTATAAATTTGATTTTATTTAAACAAAATTTAGAATTATATTTTATTAGAAATTCATTATAACTTTAAGGTATGACTCAGGGCGTTACAATGTCAATACGATCCGAACGATCACAATGTTAACGTCGAATCAGTTGATAAGAACACCAAGATCCCTATAGGTTTGAGTTGCAAAATCCATACATGTACCACAACCTTCGTGTGGATTTAATTGAGCATTTGTAGAATTTCCCTCCACTTCCGAATGGTGAATGAATATTTTTTTTAAAAAAATATATTTTTATCTCTACTCTTTAATTGCATCAATGTAATTATTGTTTTAATGTTTTTGAATAATTTTTTTAAATTTATTAATTTTATGTTAATATAATAAAAAAATGAGTGTGAATTTGGAGAGGTCTCCAAATTAATATTTCCAAATGTTCTCTAGTATTGTGACTATGCAAGTAGTCCGTATTAATTTGGAGACCTCCCAAAATAAATACTCCGTAGATAAGAGATTATAGCAATGAGCGCGGGCCTTTGTACAACAAACCCTAATTTCGTGAAAAGATGGCGGGAGGTAGACGCGACTACCCCTGGGTGGAATCCGCCGCCGCCGCCGCCGCGGTCTTCGGCGCCGCTTTCCTTTGCTGCTCGTGGTGGCCCTCTTGTTCCAGAAGAGGGGAAAATCGTTGGGAGTACTCGTGCTGTGGGAAAAAGGAAACTCGTTAAGGGTTGCGCTGCGGCAAAAGGCAAAATCGTTAAAAGTCGCGCTGCCGGGAAAGGGAAAAGCGTTAAGAGTGGTCGTGTTAGATTCGGATGAGGACGAGAAGCCATATGAAAGAACCAAAACCAGGCCGGAGGATAGATTACTGTATTTCTATCCCGACGAGATCACTTGCGACGACCTGAGTGGCGAGGAATTGGAACCCGATTTTCACGAAAAGTATTTCCCTCTTGTTACCCAACGACAAATAACCTTCAATGAATATCCACAACGCGTAATCTACAGCAAGATTTTTAAGCGATATTGCAGGCAAGCTAATTCTAGTCAGGTTCGTCTTGTCTTCAATATTGTGTTGGTCTGATTGGCATTTCACTACTCTTTTCTGATTGTGTGAATTCATGTATCTGTCAGGCAATATCCGAGGAATATCATAATTTATTTTTTATGTGTTCGTATATGATTTGCTTGATTGTTTTTTGTGAAAATTGATGCCTATTGATCTTAACACAATTATGAATGATCGTTTCGTATATCTCAGAACAGGTGCTCTTCTCTTTCCTCCCTTTACTGTATTAGATTGAATTTGTCTCTTACTTTGACTGATCTAATTGTGTGTGTGCCTTTCAGTGTAGGGGTTCGATGTTGAGCAATTAGTACCTCCAACTCAGTTTTCCCATATTGTCCCTTGGTCCTATCAAAGAGAAAAGCTCTTTCAATCAATCTCTTGATAAAGTTTCTGGCATAGCGGAATTGGCTCCCAGCCGATATAATGGCCGTTTTGTAAGATCTTTCTATTTATATCCATCTCTTACATATATGCGTGTGTTGACACACACATATGTATGTCTATCAATATTTCAGTATTTGTATGTGTATCAGTCGTATAATGTTGGAGTATTTGTTAATTCCACAAGGGCCATGTACAAAAGAATCACTTGCGTCCCCATTTTTCAATACTGGCTTTTTGTAACCAACCTCTTTATAGGATATGGTTTATATGGTGTATTAATTTGATAAAACAATGTTTTTGAAGTATTTTATAAAATAAATCAAAAAAAATTATTTTTTAATGAATATTTAATATTTTTATTATTTAATTTGTGGTCAAAGTTTAGCAATTTTGATGGTAAAAAGTTAAAATTAGACAAAAAACTCAAAAACCAAGGTAGTAATTAAGGAGTATTCAATTAAGGGTAAGTCTATAAAAGAGCCAATCTTTCTCGTTTTACTCATACTTGTTAACGGCAAGTGGCGAGGGACGGACGAGAAAACCTTTTTTATGGCGAGAGGCGGGTGGTCAAATGGCGGTCAAATGTGTGTGTGTGTGTGTGTGTGTGTG